GCCGTGCGGAGGCCGCCTGGGGCCGTCCTGGCGGGCTTCGTCGGCCCTGCGGCGGCCGCCGCAGGGCGACCCCGGGAGCCGCTCCCGGGGCCCCCAAGAGGCCTCGGGAGGCCCCGGGGCGGCCGTTCCGAGGGCCCAGAGGCGCAGCACGCTGCTCCCCCCTGGGGCGCTGCTGCTGCTGCTGCTGCTGCTGCTGCTGCTGCTGCTGCTGCTGCTGCTCCCTCCTCTGCTCCTTCCCCTCCCCTCCTCGCGCTCCTCCCCTCCCCTCCCCTCCTCGCGCTGTCCCTCCCCCGCCTTCCCTCCTCGTGTTCCCCCGCCCTTCCCCTCCTCCTCCTCCCCGTCCCTCGCGCTCTCCCGCCTTGCCCTTCTCCCAACCAAAAAGGGTCGTCCTTCGCCCTCGTGACATCTGGAGCCAGAATAAGTCACAGGGCTCAAGGACACGCAAAGAAATACACACAAATCCCAGGATTCCCCATATTTACCAATATTTCCTGGATGTTCGTCTTCCCACCCAGCTTCCCATATTTTCCTGGGAGTCGACGATTCATTGTCTGTGTTTTTCCCCCTCTTGAATAAAAAAGGAACCCGAGAGGGACACAGGGTCCAGAGGTTAGCCACAAGGAAGAGATGCAGCATCGGACTGACAGGCAGCCCGACCATAAGCAGCCGATGTGAGCGTTTTTGAACGTTTTTTGATTCGGCGATTCGGCATTGGGCGGATAGGGGGGGGTATGGCTCCGGACCTTTGCTTAGTGCGACTGTTTGCAAGAGTGCGTCCTATGAGGGGAGACCCCACCTGCTCGAAACAAGCGTCCAAAATAGCCAAGATCTACTCCGTAGGGGGGAGGAGGTGGGGGGTGCGAAGGCCCGCGCCGATCGGCAAAACAATGAATCAAGCAATAATCACAAGTCGGACCTAAGGCAGAAGAGCCTGTTTCAAGAACACGAGATCCACCGCCGGCCAAAACGCACAGAACACCCACGGGTACCCTCCCCAGGGTGCACAAAAGAAGCATCCAACAAACACAAAAAGAACATGAAGATACCCTCCCCGAACCGACCTCGATCTCATACCTCGGTCCGGCTGTGTATTGTGAAACCTCCAGCACGCACCACACCTCTCAAGGAGATCAGGTCCCACCCAGGAGTTTCCAGAAGCCCCCCGCTTGCCATCGCTCGGACGTGTGTCCCCGCGCATGTTTCGGTTTCGTGCGTGTTTCTTGTTGCTACCGGATGAAGGATGCACCTCGATGGTCCTAGCCTAGGAAGGGCATATCCTCCCAGAGGCGGATCTTATAAGAAAATGTAAAGTAATTCAAAATGTTCAAACATACTAGAAAAATCGTCTCCAGACTATTTTTCCCAACCATCATGTGGTGTTGGGTCCTCGTTTTAAAAAGACAGCGCCCTGCGTAACTCCTCCCGCTGCCCCCTGCCCCCCCCTCCCTCCTCCTCCTCCTCCTCCTCCTCCTCCTCCTCCTCCTCCTCCTCCTCCTCCTCCTTTCATTAGCCACCCCAGGTCCATTTTGGCACACTCCTCATACGGTTCTTGGCCCCATAGGGAGTTCCACAGAAGGCCCCAGCAGCAGGGTTCGCATGCGGTTTTCCGCCCACCACAGGTCCATGTCGGCACAACCCTCATCCAGTTCGTGGCCCCTTAGGGAGCTCCACCGAGGGCCCCGGCAGCAGGCTTCGCATGCGGTTCCCCGCCCCCCCCGGTCCATTTCGGCACACCCCTCAGACGGTTCTTGGCCCCGCAGGGAGCTCCACCGAAGGCCCCAGCAGCAGGGTTCGCATGCCGTTCCCCGCCCACCACAAGTCCATTTCGGCACAACCCTCACACGGTTCGTGGCCCCATATGGAGCTCCACCGAAGGCCCCGGCAGTGGGCTTCGCATGCGGTTCCCCGGCCATCCCAGGTCCAATTCGGCACAACCCTCACACGGTTCGTGGCCCCATAGGGAGCTCCACCGAAGGCCCCAGTGGCAGGCTTCGCATGCGGTTCCCTGCCCACCGCGCGCCCATTTCGGCACACCCCTCACACGATTCGTGGCCCCATAGGGATCTCCACCGAGGGCCTCGGCAGCAGGCTTCGCATGCTTTTCCTCGCCCACCGAATCTGCGGTTCCCCGCCCAGTAAAGCGTTTCGTGGCCCCAGAGGGAGCTCCACGGAAGACGATTACCCACAACTGCGGTACTCACAACTGCATCTGGTCGAACTCTTCGCCAGGCTTTTGCTATGTCTAAACGCTCCTCGTGTAGAGGGACAGGCCCGACCTGATCCCAGCCGAGCAAAGATGCACACGTCCCAGCGATGTCAGGCGAGGCCGCCTTGAGACCACCTCGAGGTTTCTCATGCCATCTGGGGCCGTCTGGGCGGGTTCCCCGGCCGTCTTGCGGCTCTCTGGGGCTGTCTGTGGGCCATGCTGGAGGGTCCCCGGGGGCCCAGGTCCTCCCACGCCGCGTTGGTTGTATAGGAGTGTATACGTATACAGATCCTCACATGGACAGACCCCCCAACACGCACTGCTCGTTCATGTTTGTGCTCTTGACGGCGTTCATCTCGCATCTTCCCCTCCGTGCGTACCCTTACGTCCTCCTCCTGCCCCTCTTCCTCCTCCTCCACGTCCTCTTCCGGTGAGGCAGGGAGCAAAGAGTTTGCAGAGAGACAGAGGGAGAGAAAGAGAGAGAGAGAGAGAGAGAGAAAAAAAAAAAAAACATCAAACATGTGAGAAACTCGAAGGAGCAACGATCCCTGTGAGATCACACGGTTTGCGAAGCAAGGGGGCGCCGCACCCTCTGATTCCACTCGGATGTATGGGATCTCTGGCATGAGAGTCCCGAAGACACCGCTTGGATGCTTGGGATGTTGTGGATTGTTCTGGAGTTCGGGGCGCTGGAGGGCTGCAGAGCGTGGATGCTCGTCGAGGGATGCACAACACGTACCAGAAATCAAGCACAAACACAAACGACACCACGGGGCCTCTGGGATTCTCGCACCAGAGACCCTCAACACCAGCACGACGTCGCAATGTCTGGCGCCCCCTTGCACCGCAGAGCATGCGATGCCACAGGGATCGCTGCTCCCTCGAGCCTCTCGCTCTCCCTCGCTCTCTCAAAGCCTCGTTGCAGACGCTTTGCCCCTCTGCCTCATCGGATGGAGATGAGAGAGGATGGAGCGGAGGATGGAGCGGAGGATGGAGAGAGGACGAGGATGGAGAGAGGATGGAAGGATGGAGAGAGGATGGAGAGGAGATGGAGAGGGGATGGAGAGGATGGAGAGGGTGGAGAGAGAGGATGGGGAGATGGAGAGGAGGAAGGGGGCGGAGGGCTGGAGAGGGGACGAGCACAGACAATGGGGGGGGCCCGGGAGCGGCAGCGGGAGGGCCCGCAGGAGCAGGAAGAGGAGGAGGAGCAGCAGCAGGCAGAGGGGGATCCGAAGGAGGAGGCGGGCGCATAACAGGAGGAAGAGGGGGAGGGGGAGGAGGATTAGGAGGAGGAGGAGGAGGAGGAGGAGGAGGAGGAGGAGGAGGAGGAGGAGGAGGAGGAGAGGGAGGAGGAGGAGCAGGAGAAGGAGGAGGACGTGAGGGAACGAGCGGAGAGGAAGAGGAGCAACAAACACTGCCATCGGGAAAGAAAACGATTACAGGGTGCAGTGGAGTAACCCACCAGATTTGATCCACAGCCCTGGGGACCTCCTGGACGCCCCTGCAGGAGGGTCCCCCAAGCATTTCAGAGCTCCTGGAAGCCCTTGCTGGGTCGAGGCAACGGGCCCAAATCGGTGGGAGGGCGGCCAAACGCCTCCCCGAGTGCCCCAGGAGGCCCAGACACCCACCTGACGCCCGAAGACGACCCAAAGAAGACCCCCCCAAAAAGGCTTCCGAAGCGCAGACGAACATTGCTGTTCCAAGGTGCTTGCATGATTTTGGGGGAATGCCCTGCTCTTCGGCTCTCTGGGCGTCCGGGACCGCCTGGGAGGCTCGAAAGTCGCTCCGAACCCATCCGAAAGGACTTCCAGGCAGTCCAGGCCCCAAGACAACACAGCAGGGCTCCCAAGTGGCCTCAGAGAGCGCCCCCCACGGCGGCCCAAGATGGCCCCGAAGACGCCCTCCGAAGCATGCCGAGACGTGACCCTGTCGTTCCGGGGGAGCGCGGTTGGAGAGGCAGGGTGGCCCGAGGGAGCCCCCAGGGGCCCTATGGAGTAGCTTCGACCATGCTTCACGCTCTAGTACCTCCTCCTCCTCCTCCTCCTCCTCCTCCTCCTCCTCCTCCTCCTCCTGGAGTGGCCCGAGGAAGCCCCCCGGGGGCCCTTGAAAAGACGCCCAGGCCTCCAGAAGGCCTCGCAAAAGCAGGAAAAACATCCGTAAGGCCCCCCAACATACGAATTCGCGGCCAGGATGGCCTCCATGCGCCCCCTGAGACATGCCGAATCGTGACCCGGTCGTCCAGGGAGACCGCGATTGGAGGCAGGGTAGTTCGAGGAAGCCCCCAGAGGCCCCCAGAAGAAGCCCAGGAGGCCTCAAGAAAATGTTCAAAGGCATGAAAAACTTATGTGAAGCCCCCAGAGGTTCTCCAAGGAGGAGCCTCCGCAAAAAAGAGATGAGGATAGTGGGGAAGAATTCGCAGCGTAGGGCGAGAATGAGGAAACAAAACATGGAGGAAGGATAACGAATTACATGATTAGAACGGCGATGCCTGGGAAAAGCAACAAGGCGTTATCGCTGCATCGTCTCTTCGACCTTCCAGACATTCCGCCCGCATGCCAAACTTGAAGGACCAAGGCGCATGGAGCGAAGCGGCAATGCAGTCTTGTACATGTATATATGTATATACACATATATATATATGTATATACATATATATACATATACATATGTGTGTGTACCATGTTATACTCTTCGATTATCCCTCTCTCTATCCCAGACCGCCGACCGCCGTGACTATAAGGACAGCAACGAGGACGACGACGACGACGACGACGGCGACGACGGCCGCCCGCTCCGGGAGGTCGTCGAGCAGACAGCCTATCGTCCGGTAGGCCTCCCGAACCACCCGCCGCTGCTCGTCTGGGTCGGTCACCTCACAGGAGGGGGGGGCCATTGGTGGCGGGATGAGGAGGAGGAGGAGGAGCCAGGATTAAGCAAGGGCTCCCAACTTCGCGCTTCGCGCTGCGCGAAGCGCGAAGTGCGAATAACTTCGCGCTCTCGCGCCGCCCCCCCAAAGGGAGAAAAGGAGGACGAGGAGGAGGGGGAGGAGAAACGAGGACCGCGAAGCGCGAAGCGCGAATAACTTCGCGCCCTCGGGGGAGCCCTTGTTAAGCCAGGCTCGGATATCCGACGCCGAGCTTGTTTCCATCTTGGCGCTGCTCTCTGCTTGCATTGCGGCCCCTGGGGCCCGTCATTGGGCCCGGGGATTCTTGAGAAACGCTCCTGGACGGAAAGCTGACATCGAAGCAGGCGCCCCTTGTGGAGCGTCCCTGCGGCTCCCACGGGCACGGTCGTACGGCACACCCGCCTCCAGTTCGAGACACTCTTCTAACGTTTCGTGCGCATGAAGGAGCCCGACCTATGGTCTGGACGCTGCTGTATGGCACCGCCGTCTCCGTTCGGGGACGGCCCCCCCCCACACACACGCGCCGTGCCTGTTGGGGCGCTCCACCAACGAACTCAGTGGGCGCGGTCGCATGGCACAGTCGCTCCCCTCTGGGCACGCCCATCGCATGTGTCTTGCTCCTGGACGGAAAGCTGACATCGAAGTAGGGAGCTAGAGATCTGGGTCCAACCCAATCAAGAAATCGCCGGATGCCTGGGGAGGGACACGTCTCTGTAAGCCCAATGGGGCCTGGCCCGTAATTGGGCCCGGGAATTCTTGAGAAACGCTCCTGGACGGAAAGCTGACATCGAAGCAGGGGGTTAGAGATCTGGGTCCAACCCAATCAAGACACTCTTCTAACGTTTCGTGCGCATGAAGGAGCCCGACCTATGGTCTGGACGCTGCTGTATGGCACCGCCGTCTCCGTTCGGGGACGGCCCCCCCCCACACACACGCGCCGTGCCTGTTGGGGCGCTCCACCAACGAACTCAGTGGGCGCGGTCGCATGGCACAGTCGCTCCCCTCTGGGCACGCCCATCGCATGTGTCTTGCTCCTGGACGGAAAGCTGACATCGAAGCAGGGGGTTAGAGATCTGGGTCCAACCCAATCAAGAAATCGCCGGATGCCTGGGGAGGGGCACGTCTCTGGAAGCCCAATGGGGCCTGTAGGCCTGACGGACGCGAAACTACCGTCCGAGAAAAACAGGCGCTGACACAAGGACCACTGGGGGCAGGCTGTTGCTTGCCAAGGCTCCAGAGCCCAGTTCAGATATCGGACGATTCCAGGGGTGGCTGAAAATCAAACGGTGTCGCTGCTTAGCAATGCTGGAAGCTCAGAAAAGAGCCTGCACTGACACAAGGATGACCCAAGACGCTCGCACGACCCAAGACGCGCCACCCTGGAGAAACAACACATCTGTTTCGAGCGATCCCCACTCGGGAGCTGCTGCGAATACTCTCCAGGTCCATATTGTGTGCTTGCTGAACGCGATGTGTGCTCTATGAATAATGAAATGTTATGTTTCCTGGAAAGTTCAGTATGTTCGCTTTGTATGTCGGTTATGCTTGCATGTATTATTAACTAGCTCGTGCACTGTCTGAACTCGTCATATGGCTTCGGGGCGAGCCCGCTTACACGTGCTGATCTTGCATTGTATGAATTACTGCTGATGTGCATTGGTTAACTATGTGGGCTTGGTCTGCATCCTTCTCATACGCGTCAATTATGATTATGATACCTGCGATTGGTATGTACGGTCTACGCTTGAGAAATGTAAATTGACAGTACATGTGTTACTCGACTTGCATTTTACAACGATAATGTGCCAGCTGGGTAATCGTTTGGAATCAGCAGCGCACGCATTTCGGTCGTTCCCTCCTCTTTCACATGCTTCGCGCCCCTCACGGAGCTCCATATAGGGCATCAGACGTGCGGTCGCATGGCGACGCCACCCACAATTCCAGCACACGCCTCACACGGGTCCTTCCCCTAGGGAGCTTCAAATACAGCAGTGGGCGCAGCCGCCTGGCACAACCACACGGATCTCGGCACAACCCTCAAAACGTCGTGACCCACATGGAGCCCGACCTACGACCACAGCGGGCATGGTCGTGTGTCGCCGCCCTCACGCGTTGCGCGCCCCTTGTGGAGCGTCCCTGCGGCTCCCACGGGCACGGTCGTACGGCACACCCGCCTCCAGTTCGAGACACTCTTCTAACGTTTCGTGCGCATGAAGGAGCCCGACCTATGGTCTGGACGCTGCTGTATGGCACCGCCGTCTCCGTTCGGGGACGGCCCCCCCCACACACACGCGCCGTGCCTGTTGGGGCGCTCCACCAACGAACTCAGTGGGCGCGGTCGCATGGCACAGTCGCTCCCCTCTGGGCACGCCCATCGCATGTGTCTTGCTCCTTGGGCAACTGCTCCACGGACAGTCTCCACGGGCGCGGCTGCACGGCGCCGCCGTCCCCACTAGCTCGGCACACTCCTCGCACGACCCGTGTCCATTAGCGAGCTCCGCCCTGGGCCTGGCGGCGTCGCTCACCTCGGGCTGCTCGCCACGAAGATCGCTCCCCCGGAGGGAGCTCCACCTCCGGTCCCGGTGGCAGGGCCCGCGCGTCGGCCCCTCCCACCTCTGCCCACCTCTCACGACGAAGACCGTGGCCCCCTGGGGGAACCGGGGTCGGAGGCTGGTGTGCAGCTGGCGCCCCCCCCCCCTCCTTGGGGTGCTGGCAGAGGTGTCCCCTGCGCGCGGTGCCCCCAGAATTCCCCAGGTGGCCCAAGATGACCCCAAGCGCAGGCACGTCACGAAGGCCCAGGGGGCGTCGGAGCTTCGTGAACACAACAGATGGTGCGAACAGCCATGGACACCTGCGGGCCAGGAACATCCTTTGCAGACCCCGACCTCCGCCGCCCCCCGTGCTCTGATTGACACACCTTCACTTGCATTCGTCCGCGTCGTCGCCCTCGCACCTGCCGCCCATGCCCACTGCCTGCAGCTGCATCCCGTCCTTTTCCTCCTCCGCCTCCTCCTCCTTCCTCCTCCTCCTCCGATAGAAAATTCCCACATTCCCAAGATCCCCTGGAACTCCCTCTCACAGCCACAGAACCTCTCCTCCAGCAGCAGCACCACCACCATCATCTCCTTTTCTTCTCCTCCACCGTCCCCTCCTTTTCCTCACCCCCTGTTCCTCCTCGGGGGGAGGTCTTAGACCTCCCAAGACAGGGGCTGCTCTGAAACATCGAGCCAACTGCGCTCTGGCCCCGTCCCGCGGGACGCAGGAGAACATCCTAGAACGACGCATGTGGCACGAACATCTGCTGTTATGTCGGGCGTGTCCCCCTACAGGGGAATTTTCGACGAAACAATACACCAAAAATACTCAAAAAGGTCAACACATACTCAAAAATTATCCCCTGACTATTTTTTGGCGATTTTCGTATTATTTTGGGGGTATGTTTCATTTTTCGTCGAAAATCCCTGTCGGGGGACAGGCCCTACTGAAGTCTGCTGGCACGCTCTGCCGGCACGGCGCCCCGCACCGAGCCCACGCGGCAAGGCTCCCGACAGCGCGCGCGCGCGCCGCACGAGGAGGAGGAGGAGGAGGAGGAGGAGGAGGAAGAGGAGGAGGAGGATGAGGAGGAGAAGGAGGAGGAGGAGGAGGAGGAGGGGGAGGGAGGGAGGGAGGGAGGGAGGGAGGGAGGGAGGGAGGGAGGGAGGGAGGGATTCGGATTCGGAACGATTGCGAAGCAATATTATACCGAGCATGCGACGCCCCCGCTGACCTTGAAGACGCACAGGACGACAAGGCAACCGAAGCGCCCGAACAGGAGGAACGACTTCACGAATACGGCATGCCACCGCTGTGAAAACCGTAGCCCCCACTGGCAGCAATGCAAATACTGCCGCCGAGCGGCAGGAAGGTGACATATCACAACCCACCACCCCAAAACTGAAACTTAAGAAAGGCCTTCACCATATTGGTTAAATGGCTAACCGCATGTCCCTCGGCACTTTCCGCACGGGAAATTGACCACCTGCACGTATTGATGAATTGAGAGAAGCACCAACAGTAAGTAAAGGAAGCAAAACGCACCGCCTGTCGAGGTGAACCGCCGCACTATCACAATAGTACCGCCGAATTAAGCCCACACAGCAACACCGCATGCGTATACCACCCAAGCCCACAGTTGGAGAACACTAGAATGCGTACAATTGAAACCCATACTTGAGATGCCGACAAGAGACCATGCCACCAGCGCTGTGCACGCCTGAACAAAAAAAACCTCCCGCATCTGACAGAGTAAATACACCCCCCGTGCGGTGATGGGAGAAACTGAGCCATGCTTAGCAAAAGCACATATAAGCGTGAGCAATGTTATGGCAGGGGAAATACAGCCCAAAATAAATTGAGTATGAAGCACCACCAGAAGGATACGAAAGCAAACCCAACTTGAATGAAAAAACGGCCACTAAACCCCTGCGGCATGCGACTAGGAATAAAGCCCCTCGCACTCCGACCCACAGGGAGGGCAGAATACATCCAACCAGCTGCTTGCAATACAACCCCAAATTTGATTGATAGAAACGGCCACTCTACCCCTGCGGCATGCGACTATGACAAAAAGCCCCTCGCACTCCGACCGTCAGGGAGGGCGGAATATACCAGCCAAAAGTGCGACGCCGAAAGCCGTACAGACTACCACGAATATTGCCCACAACAACTGCTGTTTTCAATGTCCGATTTGCCCGCCTTCGCCACCGCGAACGTCCGACAAACGAGTGCCAACGGCGCGGTCCCCCCCAAGCGCTACGTGGAAGCGGCGGGCGTGGCGACGAGGGGCGACGGTAGCCAAAATGCTACGGACAGCCCTCGAGCCACATGTGCTTGAGGGGAGGGAGGGAGGGAGGAGGGAGGGAGGGAGGGAGGGAGGGAGGGAGGGAGGAGGAGGAGGAGAGGAGGAGGAGGAGGGCAGGGCTCCCGAGGCGAGCGAGCGCGCGCCGCTCCCCCACCCCCGTCGGGGGGGGGGGGGCCGACGCGCGCGCGGCAGCTGCCGCGGCACGCTGCCGCGCCGCGACGCCCTCGGGGCTGGCTCCCGCCACCACCACCAGAGGTTGGAGGGGGGGAGGGAGGTGGAGGACAAAAGGGAGGAGGAGGAGGAGGAGGAGGAGGAGGAGGAGGAGGAGGACATGGAGGAAGACAAAAGGGAGGAGGAGGAGGAGGAGGAGGAGGAGGAGGATGAGGAGGAGGAGGAGGAAGACAAAAGGGAGGAGGAGGAGGAGGAGGAGGAGGAGGAGGAGGAGGAGGAGGGGGAGAACCCCCTCCCCCCCCAACTTCTGGTGGTGGTGGAGAACAAGCCCATCAGTTTCGGCGCCGGTTTCTGGCACGAGCGTCGGCCCTTCGGACTCCAGAGCGCGCCCAACTGGCCTCGGGTCGGGCCTGTGCCCCTACAGGCGGCTTCTGGACGAGGCGCCACAAAACACGCAAAAGCGATGCTCAAGCATCTAGTCAGACGTGGTCCAGACATCGTCCCCAGACTATCTTGTGGACTATGTTTAAGTCGGGCATGTCCCCCATACAGGGGGATTGTCGACGGAAAACAAACATTCAAAAATAAACATAAAAAAAATACAAAAATAGTCTGGGCACTGTTTTTGGAATATGGTTTGACCTTTTGGGGGTACCTTGTGGGTATTTTTTTTTTTCGTCGAAAGTCCCCCCTGTAGGGGGACACGCCCGACAGAAGACTAGGTTTGAACCCTCCTCCTGCAGAGGGCATGGGGCCGACCTCATCCTGGCCGACTCTGGGGCACCGCCTGCGCTCGCCCTGGCACGCTCGCCCTGGGGTCGCCGCCGCGCCGGCACGCACCCACGGCCAGCAGGTGTTGCTCAGCTTGAGCAGGGACCCACCGTCCCGGCATTCCCATAGACCTACCACGAAATGTCCTTAGAACCCACAAATGTTCCAAGAGCAGAAACAATGTTCTTAGAGCATAAACCCGATGTGTTAAAGCAAGACAGACTCCGCCAGAACTGTTCTAAGAACATTTCGTGGGAACCACAAGAGGTTCTTAGAACATTGTTTGGTGGGGCTATAGGCCAGGCGAGCCGGGACGCTTCGCCACTGCTTGATGCAGGGGGTCGCCGCCGCGCCGGCACGCAAGCACGGCCAGCAGGTGTTGCTTCGGGGATGGACAGACCTCCCTTTCGTAAAACGTGGTTTCGTGAAAAACGACCTCGGGCCCAAGCCTGGCGGGCGCAGGCCTGGAAAAACAGCGGCCACGGCCCCCTCTCGAGAACCAAACACGGACAGTTCACTGAGCGACGTGTCACTGTTGGGGGTTCTATCCGCCCCCGATTGCTCAGCGTGTCGCGGCGGATGGCTCCGGCGACACGCCGTGCCCTGCGCGAGGAGGGCGTGCCGCGCCGCCCCGCGGGCCGGGCGGCCACGGCGCCCTCTCGAGAGCCAAAAACGGACAGTTCACTAAGCGACGTGTCACTGTTGGGGGTTCTATCCGCCCCCGATTGCCCACGAAATGCTCCTAGAACCCGAAAATGTTCTTAGAACAAAAACAGTGTTCTTAGAACGTAGACCCGATGCGCTTAAACAAGACGCTCCCAGCCAGAACTTTTCCAAGAACATTTCGTGGACGCCTCAAAAGGTTCTTAGGGCATTGTTCGGTGGGGCTATAGGCAAGCCAGGACGCTCCGCCCCCGATTGCTCAGCGTGTCGCGGCGGGCGTCTCCGGCGACACGCCGTGCCCTGCGCGAGGCGGGCGTGCGTCCCGCGCCCCTCCGCGGGGCCGGGCGGCAGGCGAAGGCGGCTCGCGCGGGCCGCGGGCACGCGCTCAGGGGGGCACGCTCGGCGCGCTGCCGGCGCGGCGACGCCGCGTGCTGCCACGGGCGCCGGCCGAGGCGCTCTGGGCCAGTTCTGCCACTCTGGACACACTGGGAGGGGGAGGAGGAGGGGGAGGAGGGGGAGGAGGAGGAGGAGGAGGAGGAGGAGGAGGAGGAGGAGGAGGAGGAGGAGGCCAGTTCTGCGCCTTGGTCTATGCTGTGCCCCTCCTGCAGTCGGGGCGTTGGCCTAAGGAACCCCAAAGAAGGAACGAGGCCCCTCTTTTCCATGAGTTTAAACTTCGATCTCCTGCCGAGAAACATAAGGAAAGCCTGAGGCAAGCTGTGAAGCACTTAAAGAACGCGGAGCCCCTCCCCAACGAAAAGGGTTCCTTCTTCAGGGCCCCGACTGTACTTCAGGAAAAAGTGTCGAAAGAGGGTCGAGAGAGTGTCGAAGCAGCGTCGGGCGAGTGTCACCCGGGGCCCGACACGTGAAAACTCCTGAGTTTCGTCATTTTTGCTGGCGCTCGAAATTCTTTCTGGTAATCAAGGCTAAAGTAGGTTGGAGCATCATAATCCTTGGTCCTGTTTCGTGCAGAGGCGGTTTGCATGGTGCATCGGGTTCCTGGGGCTGATGAGCTCTGGAGGGTTCTAGGGCTCGCAAGGGCCCATGGCGGAGTGACGCGCCAAGCCAACACTGCCCCGCCGCATGTCCGGGCGCTGCCGGGCTGCAGGGAAGGCCCGAGAGAGGGACCTGCGGGCAGGAGGGCCCAGAATCGAATCGACATGCCGGAGGGGCGATCGACGTGCGTCGGACTGGCGGAAATCGGCATCCGTGTCGGAAGAAATCCAATCGGCGGAACTCAGCAGGCTAGCAGGCCAGTGAGAGCTCCACGGATAAATCGGGGCCCGATTCGGACTCAGCGATCGAAAGCATCGACTCGGCATCGAAAGGCTTCGAAATCTAACAGAATCGGAGGAGTCGACATGAACCCTGGCGATGTGTTGTCCCCATCGCACTTCAGGGGCACATCCCAGAAATGATTTCGAGCACCCCAACGAATACCGAAACAATGTCTGCCCGACACGCTGGCGACGTGTCGGACGAGCATCGCCTCCCAGGAGGGCCCGACGCGCGGAAACCCCCGAGTTTCGGCACTTTCTCAGTGCCCGACATTCTCCCTGGTGATCCCGGCTAGAGTATGAGCATCGTTTTACCGATCCCCATCCCCAGCGGAGTGGCCTGTACCCCCCTAGAAGGGGATACAGGCCATTCCCTTCGGGCTTCGAGGGGTGGATCCCCAACTGGGGTGGCAATCCGGTGGGGGCCTCGACGGGGATGAGGATGGGGATGCGGCTCGGATCAACGGCACTGAGAGTAGGCCGGCACATCGCAGCCCTCTGCGGTCGGCCGCCTTCTGCGCAAACTCCAGGCCCGGCGGGAGCTGCTGTGGCTCCAGCCGGCCGCGCAGCGCGCCATCCATGTAGGAGAGGCCCAGGGCAGGCGGGCCGCTGCGCGCCTGCTCGCGCCGTCGCCGCCGCCGCCGCCGCCGTCGCCGCCGCCGTCGCCGTCGCCGCCGCCGCCGCCGTCGCCGTCGCCGTCGTCGTCGTCGTCGTCATCGTCTGCGTCGGCGTCGGCGTCGACGTCGTAGTTGACGCTGCTGTCGTCGTCGTCGGAGTCGTCGTCGGCGGCGCCGTCGTCCTCGAGGTCGCCGAGGAGGAGCAGGGACAGGAGGAGTAGGGGGGGGGGCGAGGAGCGGGAGGAGAGAGGAAGAGGAGGAACAGCTTCCCGGCACCGTCCACCGTACAGATCCCGCTCCTCCATGCTCGCCCTCCCTCCCTCCATCTCCCTCCATCCCTACCACCCTCATCTCTCTTCCTTCCTCCTCCTCCTCCTCCTCCTCCTCCTCCTCCTCCTCCTCCTCCACTTCATCGACATCCACCTGCACTTGCATATCATCTTCATCTTCCATCGTCCTCATCCTCATCGTACTCGTTATCGTCCTCCTCCCTCCTCCCTGTCATCCTTCTGTATCCCCCTTCTCCTCCCTCCATCCACCACAATCATCACAATCACCATCAGCATCGCCATCATCATGGTCGTCATCGATAGCATCATCAACGTCATCATCGTCAGCATCAATTTCATTAACATCCAACAATCGTCATCAGTGTCCATCACCAATCATTCCTCTGCTTCTCCTCCGACTCCTTCTACACATTGACAAGGTACAATGAAGACGAGTGGTAAGGACGCAAGACCCTTTGGGGCCGACATTGGAATTTGCCGGGCGGCGGGCGACAAAAAGGGTACCCCGAGAGACTGGCCAGTGGAAGCGACAAAGGACGGCCGCAGAGGCAAGGACACAAGAGTACCCTATAAAAGGAGCGCGTCCTTACTAAGCGCGTGGAATGTATCCCCCTTTCTTCCGTCTCTACCTCCAGGGCACGAGGAAGAAACGGAGGAACTGATACGCGCCGAGGGAAGGATCGATCGACAGAAAAAATGCCACGCGAGAGGAGGACCACGACCCGTGGGCGACAGCGAAATATGAAGGGCTCACGGTCGGACACGTGCATGCAGTCGGGTGCACATGCGTTCGCGCGAACTCACATTGAATGTTGCACCGCGTTCATCCTTCTTCTGACCCGCCTCACCCGTCTCCTCATCCTCTCATTCATCGTGCTTACTTGCGTCCGGATGACCCTACTTTGTGCCCATCCAGAAACCAATACCACTGCCGCCCAACATGCGGTCAAACAAAAACGTCAAAAAACAATACGGGACCATCGCAAACCTGCCCCGACTTTACCTCCGCCTCCGCGTCCGCCTCCTTCCTCTCTGGACGCCGTGAATACTCCGAACCCATGAGACAAGCGTCAAATACTATCGGAACACACATGGAAACCTCCTTCACCTTTAGAGTTCCCGACACCGGCGGAAACCTGCGAGAAATTGGCCTCCTCCTCCTCCTCCACCCTCCCCTTCCCTTCCCTTCCCTCCTCATATCCCCCCTTCGCCCCCATTCCACGGATTCTCCTCGTCGAGACTGCCTCCAAAGTCCGAAAACGTCGATCCTCAATCCACGATCCTCCTGACATTTCTCCTCCTCCTCGGCGACAACAACGACGACGCTGGCGACGACGACGACGACGACGACGACGACGACGACGACGACGACTACGACGACGACGTCAACAACGTCAACAACAAAGATAACGACTGCAAAAACAATGACAAAGACCACCAAGATGACGATCTCGACTCCGACTCCGACTTCGGCTCCGACTCCGACGACGGCGGCGGCGACGACGACGACGACGACGTCAACAACGTTAACAAAGAAAATAAGGACCCCCCTCGCGATGCTGGCGGAGCATGCGGCAGACTTGCTGGCCACCCTCGCCGCTGTGCGGGTGCTCCTGGTATTTAGAAAGCATGAAACCCAACCTCATGATAAGCAACCCCGACAAGCGAAGCCATTTAGTGAACGCACCCAAGAAAGGAATCACATAGGGCAGGGCCGTCAGGAAACGCCCCTGCAAAACTACGACTAAGACCATGATAACGACCCCGACTCCGACGACGACGACGACAGCGGCGGCGACGACGACAACGACCAACACCACGACCACAACGGCGGCGGCGGCCGCCGCGCCTCCTGGAGCCGAGCGAGCAGCGCTTGGCCCCGGGTGCACCCGGCTCCCTCCCACCCCTGGGGCCCCCCCGCGGGGGGAGGGGGGCCCCTCTCCTCCCGGGCAGTGCCAGAGGGAGGGGGGACCGATACGGGCCCCCCTGGGGGAGCGCCTGGGAGCGCCTGGGAGCGCCTGGGAGCGCCTGGGAGCGCTTGGGAGCGGGAGCGCCTGGGAGCGCTTGGGAGCGCTTGGCAGCGCTTTGGAGCGCCTGGGAGCGCCTGGGAGCGCCTGGGAGCGCCTGACGGCGTAAATCATATTTCGGATGGGCGATGGGGCGGATGCATAAGTAGATTGCAACACGAAAAGGGGATGGAATAATCCTGGGGGGCTATAGTCTGCTCTCTTCTTGGCAAGGAGAATATACGTTCTGCTATCCACGCGGTGGAATCTATGTTGTGTAATTGATGTATGCAAATGGCCTGACACATGCAACGCCTTTGCAAACGTCCCACCCACCCACCCCCATCTTGGTTTGCAAAACCCATGCGGTGGCGATTGCGATGAGTGCTTGGCGTTGGCTGGTGCATCTTTGCGGCTACGCTAGCCCGCGCATGCTGTCCCGCACAGCGGCCAACTAGTTTGGCGGGACCGACGCGGCCGCGGTGGCGCTGTCCGCTGGGCACTTCCCAACGGGCACTTCAGTGAGAGTCGGTGACTTCGGTTGGCGCGGTATCATGGCGACGCCGACAACGGTAGACACGATTTTGAGAGTAGCGAAGATAGTGACGATGGTGGCGATGATGACGGCAAGGCCAATGACGGCGCCGATATTGATCGCGCCCGCCGATAAAGATGACGACGTCCTCGCGTCGGCGATAGAGGTTCTTGAAGGAGTTCGACATGCGCGCGCGGCCGACGCTCGCGAGTGGCCCGACTGGCATTATTTGAGACAGATCGCGTCGCCACCCCCACCCATCCCCCAACATCCGCGCAAGGGCGTTCGAATGAGTTCGGCATGCGGCGCGATAGGCCTGTTTGGCAGGATGTGATGAAAATGTGGAACACCTAAGGTTGTCTTAAGAATCCGCGACATTTGTGAACACTGAGGTTACGAAACCATGTGTTGTGATATGTTTTCGGGACACTCGTTTTGAAACCCTTGGGGAGCATGAAGTTTCTGAGTGATTGCGGCATGCGCACGCGACGACGCGCGCGTGCGCACGTCGTCAAAATTGTTGCAAGGGATTCCTGCGACAGCACGTGCGCAAGGGCGTTCGAACGATTTCGACATGCGCGCGCGAGAAACCATTTTGATAGCATCTTATGGAATTGCTGGAACACCTACGGCGTTTGTAAAGCATTCGCGAGAGCGCGGGCGCAGGTCTGTTTGAAAACCCTTGTTGCGAAAAGGATTTCGGCACGCGCGCGCGACGACGCGCGCGTATGCACTTCGTCCCATGTTTTGCCAAGGATTACTGAAAGTGTGCGACTTTTACTTTGCGAGTGCACGCGCATACTGTTTTTGCAGAGGATGAGGAGGATATGATACCAGCCTGCCTAGGATGGAGCGGCTTCGTATTTAGGATGGACGATAAGGCAGATTCATATGGCAATTGCAAAACGAAAAGGTGGCCACTTAACCCCGGGGGGTGGGGTAGATCCGAATACTCTTTTAGAGAAAAGAGCCTTGCAACACACAGCAACGCAAAGCAACGCAAATTAATACCAAGCAATGCCCGACAATGTAACAAAAGCAGTGCGGAGCAACGAATCGCGGTGCAACACAATGCCGAGCCACGCCAAGCACTGCACCGCCCAGCGCCAAACAGCGCAGCGCGAGGCCAATCCATGCCACACAAACCAACGCACGGCACGGCAAGGAGAAAGACAACAATGCAAATCGAAGCACATGCAATGCAATGCAAATCGATATAACGCAAGAATGCAAATCGAAGCACATGCAATGCAATGCAATGCAAATCGATGCATGCACATAAAGAAAACAATGCAAGAAAATGAGGATATAACGCAATGCAAATCGAAGCACAGACAAGAGGCAACGGGGCGGCGACGGCGACCACACAGCCGCCGGACCCACGGGCGGGCCCAGAGGACCGGGCGTCGACAGAAGCGGCAGCGGGGCGGCGCCGGCGCCCGCAGAACCGCCATGATTGCCGAGACGGGCAGACCCAGGTCCTCAGAGCAGGAAGAGCGGCCCCTCGGTGCAGGCACTGCCTGGGGAAGACATGAGCATATCAAACATTGTGTGCGTGTGCGCATACCTGCGTATTGTCTCTCTATATACATATATACACGAATAAATAAATAAAAAATAAATAAATAAATAAATAAATAAATAAGTAAATAAATAAATAAATAAATAAATATATATATATATACATTTGTATATACATATATATATATATATATATAGGCGCGCACCCCCTTGTAGTGGTGACCCCCATGGCACTGGTGAGCCCACTATGGGCCTCGTCGCCGCGGTAGGTTCGGAGGCAACTGCTGGGAGGTCTCCGTCGAAAAGATTAGGGAGAATTCAGCCCCATTCGGGGGCTGCTACGCCGGATTAGGCCGCGGATCAGGCCGGATTGGACCGGACCGGGCGGGAGTAGGCCAGATTAGGCGGGATCGAGCCAGATGGACGCGATTGCGGACCGGGGGAAAATCAGAAGTTGGCCCCCCAGAAGTTGCATCCGAAGGTCTGTTGATGGGCCTGTTTTCCACCACCGCCACCACCATAAGTTGGAGGGGGGAGTCGGGCCCTCCTCCCCCTCGTCCTCTTCCTCCTCCTCACCCTCCACCTCCTTCCCCCCTCCAATTTCTGGTGGTGGTGGTGTCAAACCGGCCCATCATAGTCGGGAGCGGCAAAGAGGGGGGCGTCAAAGAGGGGGGGGGGTGCAAACCATGACCGGCGGCATGTGCGCGGCCCAGCGGGGGGGCCAGGGACGTAATGAAGCAAGAAGAGGCGCCATGAAATCTGGGGAAATATCATGGCCCCCGCCAAGATATCCACCCCCCCCTAGTCATCACCCCCATCTTTGCCGCTCCCGACATAAGTGGTACCCCCCCCCCTCAACACTGCCCCGATCCCCCCGCAAGGAGGGGGCGGGCGGCCAACGGGGCCGCCAGGGGGCGGGCAAGCGCACGCTCCGCCCCCGCGGCCGGGCGCCGCGGCCGCTGGAAGGCGCGGGCGCAGCACGGCGCAGCACGCCGGGCGCCCTTCTCTCTCGCACTCAAGAGGAGGAACAGGGAGAGATGAGGAGGAGGGAGGAGGAGGAGGAGGAGGAGGAGGAGGAGGAGGAGGAGGAGGAGGAGGAGGAGGAGGGGAGGAGGAGGAGGAGGAGGGGGAGAGGAGGAGGAGGAGGAGGAGGAGGAGGAGGAGGAGGAGGAGGAGGAGGAGAGGAGGAGGGGAGGAGGAGGTAGGAGGAGGAGGAGGAGGAGGGGGAGGAGGAGGAGGAGGAGGAGGAGGAGGAGGAGGAGGAGGAGGAGGAGGAGGAGGAGGGAGGAGGAGGAGGAGGAGGAGGAGGGGGAGGGGGAGGAGGAGGAGGAGGAGGAGGAGGAGGAGGAGGAGGAGGAGGAGGAGGAGGAGGAGGAGGGGGAGGACTCTCTCTGTCTCGCCCGCTCCTTCTCATCCCTCTCTCTCTCTCTCTCTGATCCCTCCTGTGTACGAGCGAAGAGTTGATCTCTCTCTCTCTCTTTCTCTCTCCTTCCATCTCCCATGACGGAGAGGACTCAAGCGGGCCAACAGGCAGCAGCAAGGGGGCGAGACGGACCCGTCGTCTCGTAGGAAGTAAGGAAGACCACTCTGTCTCTAGCTTGTTATCTCTCTTCCTCTCTCTTCCCCCCCGCGGGCTAACATCAAGGTGGCGCCAGCATGCCTTGACGACCTGAGCGAACGGAATGGCACCATGTGGGTCGCAAGCACGCTCCCAAACCCGACGGCCCCTTCCAGGAGGCCCCCCAGTAGGGGCGACAAAACTTCAGCAGACTTGCCAGGGCAGGTTGCCCGCGCCATCTTCGTCGGTCACGCTCCTGGCCTGGGAAGGATAGAAGGGGGAGGAGAACGGAAGGAAGTGACACAACACGGGGGAGGGACGTCCTCCTCGTCGTCGTCACCATCCCTGAGCCCTGGCACCCCTCGTTCGGCCCTCCCTCAAGCTCAACCTCCTCCTCCTCCTCATCCTCCTACTCCTCCCCCTCCGCCTCCTCCTCCCTCCTCCTCCTGCTCTCTCCTCCTCCTCCTCCTCCTCCTCCTCCTCCTCCTCTCCTCCTCCTCCTCACCTCCTCCTCCTCCTCCTCCTCCTCCTCCTCCTCCTCCTCCTCCCTCCTCCCTCCTCCCTCCTCCCTCCTCCCTCCTCCCTCTCCTCCCTCCTCCTCCTCCCTCCCTCCTCCTCCCTCTCCCTCCTCCCTTCCTCCCTCCTCCTCCTCCTCCTCCTCCTCCTCTCCTCCTCTCCTCCTCATCCTCTCCTCCAGATCCTGCCTACCGCCTCATCCCTCCGTCCTCCTCCCTCCCTTCATCCCCCCTCCGCCCCTTCCCCTCCATCCATGCGAGCAGCTGGCAGATTTTACTTTTAAGGCTGCTTTGTCTCGAGCGCCTCTACCCCTACCTCGCAGAAAAGATGGTGCCACCAAGCCCATATCTAGAAAAAATCGGTCCACAGAGCCCTCTTCCGGGGCATCACATGCATCCTAGTGACACGCAACTCTAATCACAGCAGTGGCCAATTACGTACACCCGTGCCTACCACCCGAAAGAAAAATGTTCCACGAGAGGGCGAAACCGACGAGGCCCCCAACATTCCATACCGCCAATGCTCTGGCTGAGAGAAATTTGCCCCAGGAACCCTGGGTCAATTGTAGAAGAAGAAAAAGGAACATAAGCATCAACTTTTGGCGCTCCGCGCGGATTTCTTGGATCTGCGCCGAACTCCCCGCCCTGGCGCGCGGAGCGCGCCGGGGGCGTCGCCGGAGGCGCCACCAGGAGGGCCGACCGCGCAGATCCAAGAGATCCGCGCGGAGCGCCAAAACTTCTTCGAAACTTGCCGCCAACGTGCGGGTCGGGCGAAAGGGAGGGATAGCAAAGGGGGGGGGTGAGAATAATCTCACGTAGCTGATTTTCCCGGCGCCTCCCGGCGCCAGAGGCGACTATGTATCGAGGAATGGGCCCCTCGGTGGGGCCGAAACCAGCTGCATGCAGCAAATTTCGTAACCCCCCCTTTCCAAATCCCCCCCTTTCGTCCGGCCCGAAACATCTTCGAGAGCAGGTGGGGGAGCAGGGGACGGCACGGGAGCGATGAGAGAAGGACGAGGGAGGACACGGGGAACAGAGGACGGGGCGGAGGGGGACCTCCAGGGCACGGCCGCGGAGACGGTGGAGCCCGAGAGCAGGGAGACGGGGCGAACGAAAGCAGGGAGACGGAAGACGTCCCCAGACAACTTCGGAACTTGCCGCCAACGTTTTTGGACGCACATCGGCCCACGGCGTGCGCACGATGCGCCGCAGTCTCACGGAAGCGAAAGAGGGGCTGGTCGTCCGGCAGGCTGCCGAAGCAACGCCAGGGGCCAGAACGTGGCCGAGGATCGAAAGCGCGGTGGCCGCCGCGCCCGGGGGCAGCGACTGCCGCGCGCAGGCTCCGACCTGGGGACCATCGTGACCGGGCCGGTGCGGCCACGCGCCGAATCGTCAGCCAGACGTCGCCGTGGACATGCCAGGAACAGTCAGGTGCTGCCTATCTTTTTGTTGGTGGGGGGGCGGGAGGAACGGGACGGGGAGGCGGACGAGGAAGAAACGAAGGACGAGGAGGAAGCGGAAGAGGAGGAAGACGACGGCGACGATAACGGAAACGGGCACGCGAAGGAGCGGCAGGAAGGAGATGGGGACAGGAAGGGGGGAGGAGAAGGAGAGAGGAGGAAGGAAGGACGGAGGAGGGAGGAGGGAGGAAAGAGAGGGAAGAAGGAGCAGGAAGCGGAGGGTGGGAGGAGGACGGATCAGTCCCTGCCGAGGGTGGGTCAATCCCTGCCTCGCCCCCCCCCCCCCCCCGGGAACAGAGACATGCTCCCGAGCCGGCCTGGCGGAGACGCAGCGGCTTGCGGCGCGCGACGGTCCCCAGAGGGCCCTGCCAAGCTCCTGAGCGAATAAGGAGCACGGTGTTACGCTTCGTCTTCCGCCTTCACCCTCAGGTTCCGCCTCCTCCTGGTCCTCCTGGTCCTCTTTCTCCTCCTCGCCAACCTCCTCCCCTGGTCATCATCATCATCCTCGTCATCATCATCAGCATCATCAGCATCAGCATCATCATCAGCAGCAGCATCAGCATCAACATCAACATCATCACCATCATCAGCATCAGCATGATCATAATCATCCTCATCATCATCCTCATCACCATCATCAGCATCAGCATCATCATCATTATCGTCGTCGTCATCATCAGCAACATCATCATCATCATCATCATCATCATCATCAGCATCATCATCATCATCATCATCATCATCATCATCATCATCATCATCATCATCATCATCATCGCCATCAAACCGCATCATCAGCATCACTGCCGTAGTCGCCGCTGTCAACACCAAGTTCAGCATCATCATCATCATCATCAGCAGCATCATCAGCAGCATCATCAGCATCATCATCACCATCAGCATTACCATCATCATCAAGATCGTCAATACCATCGGTAACGACATCATGATCCTCGCCTCCAGCATGTTTCCCACCGAAATACCTCGCCACCTCCTCTACAGTATCCTCCCGTTTGTCCTCCATAGCCGACTTTTAATCCCGATCATGCCCATCATCGCACACCTCACGCAAAGGCCTCACCATACTGCTCATCACCCGCCTCCCCGCTATCCTTCTCCTCCCCGCAACCGTTCTTCTCCACCTGCTCTTCTTTGTCCCCCTCCCCCCATCCATGTCCCCCCTCACGTCCTGCGTGTCCCCCTCCTCGTCACCAAACCCTCCCGCTCCTCCTCACCCGTCGACCTCTTGAAAAGGTAGAAAAAAGGGGAGCAACGGCAGCCAGACCAGAGGGGAAAAGGGGAGGAGGAAGAGGGGATAGGGGAAGAGTGAGGTAGGAGGAAGGAGAGGGGGCAAGACTGCAGATAGGGGGAAAGGACGAGGGCAAGACTGGAGAGAGGTGAAGGACAAGCTAGGCGCGCTCGTGCCAAGTCTGACATCCTACCCCTCCCATCAAGCTTTTCCCATTGCGCTGAAGGTCCTCCAGCCGCGGACATGGAACTCCCAGAGACATCCCATCGTGCCCCTGGACAGTCGGAGATTGCGAGGCGTGGACGCCGACAGCGCCGATCTTTGAGACGGCCGGCGCTTGCCCACGCGCTGCACGGTCCAGCACGGCCGCGCCCTTTGCGCTCGGACGGCCGCAGGGCTTGGCGAAGCCCGTGGCCCTCTGCGTACCCAACGCGCAGCACGCCAGGCATACGACCACTGGCACGTCCCTCCCTGGCTCCGCCTCACGCAGCGCCCTCAACTCCACCAACCGATGGCGCCGCCCACGTGCACAGCGAAGCTCTGGGTCTGCATCGATCGAGGGCAGCGGCGACGATGCTGCCGGGCCGCTCGGACTCGCGCGCCTCCCAGCGGCAACGAGCGCACCACCTCGCCCCCGCCTGCCCGCGCCAATCTCACTCCAGGGTCGGCGTTGCCAGAAGCCGCTCGCGGCGCAGGCTTGTTGGGCTGTGCCTCCCTATCTGTCGTGTCCGTCTCGGAGAGGAGCCAAGAAAAGATATAGAAAAGCACTGCGTCCCGTGCTCCGTGCTCACTTCGGTATGCGAATTGCGAAAGACCATAGGCGCCTAAACGCTCAATACGCGGAAAAAAATACATTCCCTATTACACGTTCTACTACTTTCGATAGCTGCGACGTTAAATGAAGCCCGCCGAGCCGATAGCTGAGATCCATATGGCCACGCCCTCCACGAGCTGATCCGCGAGATGCAGCCGTCGTCGCTCCTCGGGGCCGAGACGCGTGCGCCGCGGCAGACTGGGCCGCAGCATCCGCGGGCCTGTTCCGCACCAGTGTCTGCGTGACTGCCCTCTGCAGCACCTGCTTGCGAGTGCAGTTTGGTGGTCTCCAAACCAGGTGGTGAGACACCCGGTGGTGACCCCGATTCCCCAAAGAAATAATTCTGGGTCACCACCGGGTTTGGGGACACGCGGTCGCCACGAGGTTTCGCGTTTCCTGGGCCAGCCAGCGCTCGAAAACCATTACCCAAATCGCCCAAAACTCACCACCGGGTGTTCTCACCACCACGTTTGGGGACCACCAAGCAGTGGGCCTTGTCCCAGCGAATCTGCAGGCCCACGGGGGAGAGCCCCCGAACTCGTCCAGCAACCGCCAGACCTCAGGCCACAGATGGGACCACGCGTGGGCGTACGCAGTGGTCCTCTCGCGCCCGTGCTCCGTGATCCCGACCCGGACGAACATCGAGTCCACCGCCGCCGTGACGCGCGGCGTCGCATGGCGCAGCACCCCAATGGTGGCCGATAGCTCGCCTCCGCTGATGACCATGAATGCCCTGTCCATCATGCTGGGGATACCGCAGCAGGAGGAGGAGAAGGATGAGGTGGAAGATTGTGTTCGCTCAGCGGCCTGCCTCAGATACGAAGGGGAAGGAGGAGGAGGAGGAGGAGGAGGAGGAGGAGGAGGAGCGCACGTCGCCTGGAGCGCACGTCGCCTGGGGGGGGCAGTCTGACGTCCAGCCTCAGCCACGAGCGACAATCGCGGCGTGCCTCGCACGCTTTGTGGAATTAGAGTTACTTTCGAGGTGGGTTTGCTGCTGAAGCTCAGCACGGTGCTTGTGATAGACATGGAACGCCAAAGCAGTTTCAATAGTTCGCACGCTCATGAGAGATGGGATCGAACTCCCTGGCTACAGTATAATCGGAAGCAGGACAAAGCCCTAGACGTATTATCGGGTCAAGAGGAGGAGGATGAGGAGGAGGAGAAGGAGAAGAGGGAGGCAGAAGGATGAGGAGGAGAAGGAGAAGGTGGGAGGGAGGAGGAGGAGGAGGAGGAGGAGGAGGAGGAGGAGGAGAAGGAGGAGGAGGAAGAGGGGGAGGAGGAGGGAGGAGGAAAAGGAGGGGGAGGAGGAGGAGGAGGAGGGCAGACGAAGTCCTCGCTATCGGTCTCTTGGCCTCGCGCTCGGGCGCGGCGCCGTCGAGGAAGAGCTCCCCGGCGGGCAGCGCGCCGCCCCCAGGGCGCCCGCGCCCTGCGGAGCGGCACTCGACCGCGGTGGCCGGCGGAGCCCCTCAAGGTGCCCGCCGCATCGCACGCCTCATGTCGGGCCTGTCCCCCTACAGGGGGATTTTCGACGAAAAATAAACCATACCCCCAAAATGCTCCCAAAAGGTCAACAAATACTCGAAAAATAGTCCCCAGACGATTGTTGGACTATTTTTCTATTATTGTTGGGGTATTGTTTATTTTTCATCGAAAATCCCCCTGTAGGGGGACAGTCCCGACTTAACGCACGCTTCAAGGAGCACTCGATCCGCGGAAGATCCGCGCGGCGCCGAAGGTCAGAGAAGGGAGAGGTACCCACACCTCTACAGATTCGCCCGTCTTTCCTTTGCTGCGCCTCCTGGATTTGGACGCCCGGAATGGGTACGGAAAACATGGGTACAATGCCCAACAACAAAGGTTGTCCAAAACCAACAGCGGCCGCTGTTGGGCAGGCGGCCTTCTGTCTCGAACGGACACAGGCCGCGGCGACGTGGACAGCGAATCCTGTCCAAAATGAGCAGGAACTGCTGTTCGGCATTGCACCCATTCTTTCCGTACCCATTTCGGGCGTCCAGACACTGGAAGGCCCTCGTCGCCACCGCCGGCTTCGCCCCGAGATGCTGGTCCGAGCGCGCCCCGGAAAAAAGGAGTCCCGGGGGGAAAAGCGTCATCGGCGCCTGTTTTGGCTGCCCCGAGGGATCCCCGCGAACGACGCCGACGTGCCTCGAGCTTCCCGAGCTTCCCGAGCCGCTTGAGGGCGTGCAGGGCCAGGCGGGGCAGGCGCAGGGCCCGTGCAGCAGCGTTACCCCGCGCCGCACACAGGAGGCTTGAGTTCAGAGCGTGAATTACCTACCCCGCTTTCGCTTCCAGGCAAAACCAAGCCATACCACGCGCCTCCTCGTCAAGCGGCCTGACCAGTACAGTCTGCAATTTGACATCGTTTGGTATCTCTTGGAAGCGAGGGTGGTCAAAAGCGAGGTAGGTCTGTTTTCCCCCGATGAGTGTCACTCCGCGCCGCACAGGGTCCGTGCAGCAGTGTTCCTCCGCGCCGCACAGGGCCCGTGCGGCAGTGCTGACTCCGCGCCGACGTTCCGCGAGCTGCCCGGGCACAGCGTGCGGGCGTGCCGGGGCCCGGCGGGGCAGGCGCAGGGCCCGCGCCGCAGGGTGTCCTCCGCGCCCCCCGCACGGGAGGCAGGCGTCGGCCGCGCGCCACGCCAGCTGCTCGTGCCAGCGCGCGCCGGCGCGCCCGCGGCCCACCCGCCAGCGGGCCATGGCTCGGACGGCCGTGCCCTGTGCGTTTTGTTCGGTTTCGTGCGGGGCGTCTTCGCAGGATGTTGGTGGTCCCCAAACGTGGTGGTGAGAACACCCGGTGGTGAGTTTTGGGGCGACTTGGGTAATGGTGTTCGAGCGCTGGCTGGCCCAGGAAGCGCACAACCTCGTGGCGACCGCGTGTCCCCAAACCCGGTGGTGACCCAGAATTATTGTTTGGGGGGAATCGGGGTCACCACCGGGTGTCTCACCACCTGGTTTGGGGACCACCAAAGGATGCTCCAGGAGGCTCCTGAACAATCCCCGCCGGGAAAAAATGTGCACACGTCCGAGCGCTGCCAAGCCAAGCCAGAGGCCCAAGTAGCCGCGCGCGTTCCCCGGGCCGAGAGCCGCACCGCGGTGCGCGCTGCACCCTCATCATCACCTTAAAGGCCTTAAGTCGGGCCTGTCCCCCTACAGGGGGATTTTCGACGGAATCTTTTAAAAATAATTCGAGAATGCCCCCAAAAAGGTCAACAAATACATAAAAAATTGTCCCCAGACTACTTTTCTACTTTTTTTTTGTTTTTTACTATTTTGTGGTATTTGTTTGACTACAGGGGGACCTTCGACGATATATATATATATATATATATATATATATATATGAAAAACCACACCAAAAAGGTCAACAAATACTCAAAAAAATTGTCCCCTGACTACTTTTGGACTACTGTTTGGCTATTGTTGGGGGTATGTTTTATTTTTCGTCGAAAATTAGGAGGCCTGGAAACGGGCACCAACACCAACACAAGGGGTTGCCTCCTCAGGCGGGAAGATGATCCTAGATTTCGGTGTCGGTGGTAATATTTCGGCCACCTTGGAAGCCGGAATATGACCACCACCGAGATCGGGATTTTCTTCCCTCGGTGGCGGCATGCCGCCGATATTGGTGTTGGTGTCACCCTCTAGGCCTGCGAAAAATCCCCCTGTGGGGGGGCAGGCCCGACTTCATCATCACCACGCCGTGCCGGCGCTCCTGCCGCCTCGCCTCGCCTGCCGGGGCCGCGGCCGTGGGCGGCGCTGCCACCCGCCGGCGCCCGTGCTGCCTGGCCCGGCCCCGTGGCCGATGCGACGGCAGGTGGGCCGCTGCACCGACAGTGGCTGGAGTGAGCCGGCTTTTGGCCATCGTGGGATCGCTGTCGCTGTGGTGAGGTCGGGCATCTCCCCCCACGGGCGGATTTTGGAGGGAAAAATACACACCCCAAAAATACATTCAAAAATAGTTGGAACAAATGCTCAAAAATCATCCCCAGACTATTTTGTGTGGCTGTTTTTGAGTACTCCTCCTGTAGATCACAATGCCCGATTTAACTCGGCGGTGGACTAACCTCCCTTTAGTAGAACTCCCCTTAGTGAAAACGGCCTGGGAGCGAAACCGACGGACCTGGACCCGCAAAAATAACGGCCGCGACCTTCTCTCGCGAACCGAAAACGGCCAATTCCTTAATCGACGTGTCAGGGTAGGAGGTCTGTCCACCCCCGATTAACGCTGTGGTCGGGCTGCACATGTCGACAAAAGGGCGCCCGCGAGGCAGACGGCGCCGCGCTCGTGGTCGTGCGCCCGGGCAGCGCCGGCACGCCTCCCGCCGCCGCGTGGCTCAGCGCAGGAGGAGCATCGGTTAACCCCTCCTCCTCCTCCTCCTCCCTCCTCCTCCTCCTCCTCCTCCTCCTCCTCCTCCTCCTCCTCCTCCTCCTCCTCCTCCTCCTCCTCCTCCTCCTCCTCCTCCCCCTCCTCCCTCTCCTCCCCCTCCTCCTCCTACTCCTCCTCCTCCTCCTCCTCCTCCTCCTCCTCCTCCTCCTCCTCCTCCTCCTCCTCGGTTAACCGATCCCCATACCCAGCAGCGTGGCCTGGGCCCCACTGGCCGATTTGCCCCCATAGATGGGGATATTGGTCGTTCTCTTCGGGCGTCGAGGGGTACATCCCCAACTGGGGCGGTAATTTGGTGGGGGTCTCTCCCAGGGGATGGAGATGGGGATGGGGATCGGCTCAACGAGTTCTACAGGACGCCGCGCGACCTGCTGCCACCGCCACGCCTCCACAGCGCGCCAGAGCAGCCTCTTGCGTGCGTGCGCCATGTCGCAGCCTCCGCGACCGTCCACCAGGCCCTCAGCAGGGAGAGCCTCGCTGCCGAGAAGGGCCCGCGCACCTGAGCCCAAGCCTCGGTCTGCTCGACGGTGCGGCGCGGGACCCAGCATTCCCACGCCGCACGCGGCAACGCCACGACGGCCAGGAACGTGGCCCGGTACGTCGGGTCCAGCATGCTCGGCAGCGTCAGTGGTGAGCGCGCCCGACCTCCCAGCGACGCTGGGCGCGCCCGCGGCGAGGACGACGAAGCGAGCCCTGTCGAGCTCGCCCGCCGCGCAGCCCGTGGCCACGAGGCCGTGCGACGTGCTCGCCCCTCCAGCCCGAGACCGCGCGGCCTTGCGAACGGCCGCCTGGCGACCAGCGCCTGCCTCCAGCATGCGGACGCGCCGAATCCAGAACGCCCATCTTGGACCAGCTTTTCGCGCCGGCCTTTCCTCACAGTGCGCTTGCCGCACGAGTAGCTGATGCTACAGTAGGGGCCCGACCACAAGAAACCTTCCGCCCGAAACCCAACCCTGAGACCCCAGCACGTCCATTGATTTTTGGCGTGGGAAGGTCACGCTATCGACAGCAAAACCATCGAAACCCAAGAAACCCAGGGCACCCTGTAGGCAAGCAGGGTGTTTCTTGGCATGGGTCCCAACTGTAAGGTCCCGCCCGCCTCACACCGCCTGGACTCTCCAACCGGCCGTCCAAGCAGGCTTCTTCGAGCTCGTCGCGAGCTCTACGGGAGGATTCGAGAGCGCCCGCGATGTTGTCACTGCAGTGCTGAGGTCGATCTCCTCCGGTAACCCTTTCAGCCTGAACGCCGAGCCTGGTCGTCTCACGAGTCAACCTTCGCCAGGCCCCCGATCATGTGCAGCATAAAGTCGTCCACCACAACCGCGAGCGACACGGTCGGATGTAGCCGCAACAGGCGGTCGATGGGGCCCGATCAACATCAACTTCAGGACGCACGTCGCGAAGCCGTCGCCGGGCACGATGACCTGCACCGCCACAATGGGAGCCGATACGGCACGGCCCAAACATGGAATTCGCGGCTTGATGTACAGCTCGACCTGCAGCTTCAGTTGCCAGAGCTGCGGGAAATACTTATATCCATATCCAGTGCGTCTTAGACTTTCTTTGAAAGGGGCGCCGCAAGTCCGAGGCGTACTGGACATAGATAACAATCAAGCCTTGGGGTGCCATATGCTAATCCACATCCCGTGCGCCTCTCATGTTTTCTGAGGAAGAGTGCCCGAAACTCCAAGACGCACTGGATGTGGATATCGACACTGCCCGCGGGAAGCCCGTCGAGGAGACAAGGAAGGAGGAGCACGAGGACGAGCAGCAGCAGCAGCGGGCACACTGGAGCGGAAGGAGCGGGGGGGGGGCAGGAGGACCAGAGGGGAAGGGGGAGGAGGGGAAAGGAGGGGGCGACGATGACCGCAGGGGAAAGGATGGAGAAGGGGAAGGGAGGGAGCAGATGGGGGCAAGGATGGAGGAGGGGAAGGGATGAAGAAAAGGGAGAGGCGACGGAGAAGAAGGGGAAGCGACGACGGAGAACAAGGGGAGCGGCGATGGAGAAGAAGGGGGCAGGATTTAGGAGGGGAAAGGCAGGACCCGGATCCACACAGGCGGCCCGCGCCGGGGGGCGCAAAAGAACGCCGGGCCGAGCGAGGGGAGCAAAGCGCCGGTCCTACTGGGAGGCCAGTGCTGCAAGGGCAAGGCAAGTCGTGCTGCAAGGGCAAGGCAAGTCTGAGGCCGACAGCGTTCTGAGTGAGGCAAGCCCATGAGAGAGACCACGTGCTAGCCGGCAAGGCCCCAAACAGGGATGCCTTGCAACGTGTGCGGTGCACTCCAGGTTGTGCAGTACGACTGGCGCAATCTGCGTGGTGCACTCCACACGGTATAACTAGATGTGTGATACAAGGCAGCGCACTACAATGCGAAGCTACGCAGAGCAGTGCAAAACAATGCAAAGCAATGGAACTGTATGCAAAGAAGTGCAACTAAAGGTTATGCAAAGCAATGCGAGGGAATACAAAGCAATGCAAATCGATGACATGAAATGACAAGCACGGCAAAGCAATGCAACGCGATGCAGAGGAATGCTAATGAAAGCAATGCGCTGTAACGCAGTCCAGTGAAATGTAGGGCAATGCAAAGGAATGCGCAGCAATGCAAAGCAAAGCACGTAGGTGCAGAGCAACGGGGCACTGCGATGCAACGCTCTGCAACGCTTCGGCAGCCTGATGCAAAGCCATGCAACGCAGTGCGAAGCAAGACGCCAAGCGATGCAACACCATGCGAAGCAATGCGAAGCAACGCACAGAAATGCTTTTCGCAATGCGATGGCAATGCGAGGCGATTGCCATGGAACAAGGCTCGTTGCGAGGCGACTGCCAGGCCACGCGACTGCCATGCAACCGAAAAGGGGGGGGGGGCACGGGGGCGGCGGCGGGGACGGGCCGCGGACGGTATAGAAACTCCTGAGCAGAGGAGCGAAAGCCCCGAAGGATTGACCGAAAAAGGACCCCTCACCCTCTGCGAGGAGACCTAAAGTAGGAGGGCCACAAACATTGGGTATAGTAGGGCGACGAGATCTATGCATATCCACTGCTCCTGGCCAGGCCAATCCTGGGCCCAGGAGCGGTGTATACGCCCTCCTGGCCTGGCCAGGGAGGCATATACACAGCTCCTGGGCCCAGGATGGGCCTGGCCAGGAGCAGTGGATATGTATAGATCTCGTCGCCCGATATAGGGGGTCTTTTCTGCAGATGCATCGGGCGGAACCGCCCACATGTAGCCCTCATGTGAAGACGGGCACCTCAGTGAGGACACGACTTCATCACGGTATCAGGGTTAGGGTCCTTGTGCTCTCAGTGGCCTAAGAGCAAGAACTGTTTCGGGAATGGTGGAACCCTGCGCGCAACAAAGGCACTACTCGCGGGGGGGGGGCTGGCCACTTACCAGACATCTTCGGGGGGGGGACAGCAGAGGTCATAGATCAGAGGTCCTAGATGGTTTATTGTAAAGCAAGAACAAAGGGGTAAAGACCACGGGAGGAAGTACAGGATGCAGAAGAGGCGGCTGATTGCCGATGGCCAGACACTGGGCCGATCGGCTCTCCGACATGCCCGGCGTTGGATCTCTGGCCAATGTGAGCCTGCCTGGCGGACGATTCGACCCGAAGGCCCTCTGGGCGGATACCGTCCCTCTCCGGTCAGGGCGGATGGCGCGACAGAAACAGTCTCACGCCTCGGGAGCCGTCGCGTAGGGCGTCAGAGAAACAGCGAGGGTGGCGTTGAACACGTCGACGACCGGGTAGAGGGGCTCGGGCCGAAGGCCTCCGAGCGCGCGAGGGCAGGAGGGAAGGGGGCCATGGCTGCTGAGACCTCGAACTCTGCACCTGCCCAGTCTGCATCCAAGGCTCCCCACAGATGGGGAGCAGTCAGAGACGTGCCTCTTCGTAAATGTTGAAAGGATGTGTCCTGCGGGGAACGGGAAGTGGACCACGGGGCTCCACCTTGAATGATCATTTGACAGTGCTGGGGGCCCGTTCTTCATGCTGGCGGTGGAAAATGAAGGCGGGCACGAACCGCGTTGCTGAAGAGCGTGATCATTGCTTCGGACTTGAGGGGAGCATTGCGGGTCCGCCGAGCATCTGGGATGAAATCGCCTCCCTCTCTCTCTCTCTCTCTCTCTCCCCTGATCAGGCCGAATCTCCCCCAGCAGGCCTTCCCGAAACCTTCCCCCCTAAATTCCCGACTCTGGGGGGGGCTCGGATTCGACAGCAATAGAAACCAACTCAACTCGAGGATGCGCGACGGGTAGGTTTAGGTCGGGCATGTCCCCCTACAGCCGGACTTCGGGCGCGAACATTCCTCCTGTAGAGGGACACGCCAGACTCGAGAGCAGGTGGGCGTCCAATCTCGACGAGGGGTGCATCCGAAGCCCCCCCCCCCCACGGTTATGAGCCGCCCGGTACTTCTCGTGGTGGGGGTAGCTCGGGGAGACCTTTTCGGTGGGCAGGCACGGGCTCGCCACGGGGAAAACATCTTGAGCCCTCTCTCGGAGCCGACGGAGGGACCCCCTTGAAATAGAGAGGGCTTGCTGCCCCGGAGCAGGCAAGCCGTCGGAATCTTGTTGGCTCACGCAGGTGCTTGACATTGGATCACGAAGGCCGTGACAACGCGAGGCTGGCGAAGCGTGAGCGTGAGTTTGCCCAGACTTGGCAGTTTGCGGAAAGAGTCTGCCCGGAGCAGGAAGGTGGACGCATAAAAAACAATGACAAAAGTCAACCACATTTGGACTGGTTTGAGACAGCAATGATACTGGTTTGAGAAAACCGTGAAAACGCGAAACTGCCGAATAATTAGCGTTAGTTTGCCCGGACTTGGAAGTTTGCGGCAAAAGTTTGCCCAGATCAGGAAGTTGAAACAAGTGGAAATATTGAAAAAGGTTCGCCAAATTATGATTCTTGGAAATTGTAAAACATCTGCCAAAAGTTGAGCAGTCGCCCAGATTTGGAAATTTGGGAAACAGCCTTGAAAATGTTGGAAACGAAGTTTGACACAACGATTTATCCAAATGTGGCAGTTTGGCAAGACTTGCAACAAGTGATGATGAAGTTCGCAAGTATGCGTAAGTGCGAAATGAGTTTGAAAATGGACAAGTTTGCCTACATCTGGAGAAACGAAAGTTTGAGAAACTATTGAAAACAGCTTTGGGAATTTGATTCAAACGTTCCCCCTACAATTTTCATACTTTCATGTTTCCTCTGACTCGCCATCGTACGTTCGGTTTGCTTTGCCATACTCTGACTGTCCCGCGCCTTGTCACCGCTTTGCCAGCTTAGGTTGGCGGCGCGCAGAAGGGGGTGGGGGGAGGGGGGAGGCTTTTTAGAAGGCAGCTGCTTCTTAGAAGGCGCCAGCCCTGCATCTACAGACAAGGACCACGCCTTCCCGTCGTCTACATTTTAGAAGCAGGGATGCTTCAAAGAAGCCTTCCCCCCTCCCCCTACCCCCCTTCTGCGCGTGGCCGATTGGGGCAACGCAAAGGTAAAGCAGCCCTGCGCTCAGGTCCCCAGCTTGTTCCGTGTCTACAGCCTGCGGAACCAAGCTGCGAGGATCTCGGGAGGCAGTGAATGTGGGTAATGTTTGCGAATGCCATGACAATGTTTGAAAACATGTGTTCGAAATGTTTGGAAACTGCTTTCAACATGTTTAAACCATCTACCCATGTTGAAGACACGTTCAAATCATGTTGTAGACATCTGAAACATTTTGGGCGATATGCTTCCTCTCCATTGATCGTCGTCCCCACGGTACTTGCTGGAGGGCCTAGAATGCCAATGCCTCCCCGTGGCGAAAGTCCTTGTCTCCTGGGCCCGGAACCGACAGCCTGAAGTGCGACCACGACATACAATGTATGATGAATGAAGCTGCGGCAGCTCATCTGACCCAGGATGCGCGGCTCCCATTTCCGTCCGGATCTGAGTTCTGCCCTCGTAGATCGGACTTCGCTTGTTCCAAATCTGCCCTCTGCACGACTGCTCAAACGGAACTGATCCATAGCCCGCTAACTCACGGTATGTAAAATGGGACCTGGCCTGAAATCACATCCAAGATCCTGGGGCCCGCCAATGTTAGGATTATCTCGGGCGTGTGTACAGTTATGTTGATTCGGGGCTTTTAAATCCAGGGAATTGCGGTGTTGCAATTACAGAAATTGACTTCTGGCACTACTTCGGTTTGTCAGAACGCAACCGTCACGTCGTTTCCCGACGCGGGAATCCCAAGAATTGCGTCCTGGCATGATTCGGGATTATCAAACGGTTGTCTTCCAATGGGACATTGTTCGCTAAGAAAACCGATTATTGTGGGGCCCTATGAAAAGGGAACTTGGAGGGAGGGTTGATTGCGACGTTGTTGATGCGTTTCACACTTATTCTCCTCCTCATCACCCGCCTCTTCCTACCTCCTCCTTCCCTCCGTGACAACATCAAGATGAGGCTAGATCCAGAGGCTAAACCGTGAACATTTCAGAGCAGGCGTGTCGACTAGATGTATCGGGCGCCGCGGCCGTGCTAGTGTGCCCTGGAACGCTCTGAGAGCTTCCAAAGACGCTTCTGGAACGATCTATCATCATCCTGGATGTTGCTGAACTTCCTCCCCTCCGCGGCCTCAGAACGGGAGAACGCTCCCCAGAGCGCCGAGGCCGCGACCGTGGCGACAACGTGGAAACCCCGAGGGTGTGACCCATTCGCTCCCTGGGACCGCCTTTTTATGCGGGGTGGTCTTCTGACTGTCTCGGGGCCCAGAGAGGGCCCCACAGAGGCAACAGAACACCAACAACATTCCGTCGTACATTTTAAACTGGGGCGCCCGAGTCATCCAGGGTAACTCGGGCCCGGGGCAACTCGGCCTCGGATTCCCGCAAAAACTGAACCCGAGTTAGCCCTGACCCGAAATACCCCGGATGATGAGGGGCGCTGGACGCCCGAGTCATCCGGGATAGAGCTCGGGTTCGGCTTCCCCAAAAACGAACCCGAACTAGCCGTGACCCGAGCTGCCCCCTGATGACCCGGGGCTCTGGTGCACGACGCCGTCTGGGTCTGAGGCGTCATAGGCGCCCTCCTCCTCCTCCTCCTCCTCCTCCTCCTCCTCCTCTCCTCCCTCCTCCTCCTCCTCCTCCTCCTCCTCCTCCCCTCCTCCTCCTCCCCCTCCTCCTCTCCTCCTCCTCCTCCTCCTCCTCCTCCTCCTCCTCCTCCTCCTCCTCCTCCTCCTCCTCCTCCTCCTCCTCCTCCTCCTCCTCCTCCTCCTCCTCCTCAGGTCGCCTACGGCCCCAGGGGAAACCGAGGCGTCCCGCCGAGGCGCCATAGGCCCGCGCACGCGGGCCGGCCTGTGTCGTGCAGGGCGCTGCCCTCGACGCGCAGCACCTCCTCCTGGAGGAGGGCGGGGCCCAGTGGGGGCACGGGAGGGAGGGAGGCGGGAAGGAGGCGGGAGGAGGGCGGGAAGGAGGACGGAGGAGGGAGGAGGAGGGAGGAGGGGGGAGGGAGGAGGGAGGAGGAGGGAGGCGGAGGAGGGAGCAGGGAGGAGGAGGAGGGAGGCGGTAGGAGGGCGGGAGGAGGGCGGGACAGAGGAGGGAGGACTCCAGCAGGAACCCCCAGAAAGGAAGAAGGGCGGGAAGGAGGCGGGAGGAGGGCGGAAAGGAGGCGGAGGAGGGAGGGAGGAGGGGGAGGGAGGGAGGAGGAGGGAGCAGGGGGGAGGACGGAGGCGGTACGAGGTGCGGGAAGGAGGAGGGAGGAGGGAGGGAGCAGGGGGGACGAGGAGGGAGGAGGGAGGAGGGAAGAGGAGGAGAGAGACGGGGGAGAGCGGGAAGGAGGAGGGAGGAGCGGCAGTGCACGCCAAAGCGGACTCCGGCAGCACCAGCGGCCGACAGCCCCGCTCTCGCAGACGATGGAGACATGCGGCTAGAGGCCGTCGGAGGACAGCGCAGGGCCGACGAAGAAGACGCCAAGGAAGGAGAGGGAGGAGGGGGAGGAGGAGGAGGAGGAGGAGGAGGAGGAGGAGGAGGAGGAGGAGGAGGAGGAGGAGGAGGAGGAGGAGGAGGGCGGCGACGACGAGGAGAAAGGAGGAGTAGCACGGCATCGACTATGCCGGCGCGGCCGCCCCAGGAGTGGTACCAGCACAAGCTTCGAGCGAGGCAAGGAGCGCCATCGGTGTAACCGTTGCAAGGGCTGACGCGGATGCCCGCGGCGCCAGGGAGAAAGGCACCCATGTTGAAAAGTATACTCCAGATTTCGTAATAAAAGGGAGGGGGTCTGGACCCTCCAAGACAAGCCATTTCAGACCCCCCCCCGTAGTGGAAACCCTCCAAAACATCGTTCCCAGACCCCCCCAGGCCCTCCAAGATAGCCTGGAAAAGACCCCCCCCCGAAATGAGACCCCCCTCCCTTTATTACGAAATCTGGAGTAGCCCAGCTCGTCCGCATGACTGCTGCATTCGATAACCTCACGTGGGCGCGGCGCCGGGGCGAGCGCCGCGCCCTGAGGCCGGCGCTCGCTCCACCCGCGGGGCGGCGGCAAGCTTGACACAACGCGGTGCGCAGGCAACTGCTGGGAGGTTTTCGTCGGAAGGGTTAAGGATCGGGAGCGGCCAAGAGAGGGGTGTCCAAGAGGGGGGGGGTGCAAATCATGACCGGCGGCATGTGCGCGGCCCAGCGGGGGGGCCAGGGACGTAATGAAATGAGAAGAGGCCCCCCTGAGATCTGGGGAAATATCGTGGCCCCCGCCATGAGATCCACCCCCCCCCTAGTCATCACCCCCCTCTTTTCCGCCCCCGAAAGGAGGATTAAGCCCCATTTGGGGGCTATTTCGCCGGAGCGGGCCTCGGATTAAGCGGGATTAAGCTGGATGAAGCGGGATTGAACGGGATTGCGCGGGATCTGCCCGGATTAAGCCGGACTTCGGACCAGTGCAACATCAGAACTTGACCTCCCAGGAGCTGCATCCCAACCCCGGTTCAGAGTGACCTTTGGTGCGCGGCTTTTTGGGGGCCGCGGGGGGGCCAAATCTGGGCGCGCAGCCAGCTGCGACTGCTTCGTTTTCAGCCATATGGGGGCCCATCTGTGCCCGCACCAACGGTCACTTTTGCGAAACATCACTCTTACGTCTGGTCGAGCGCATGGCGTGGAGGCGAGAACCCGGTGTTGAAAACAACCCGTGGTCCTGCTGCGCCTGTTCAATGCGACTGGGCGCGGCGTTGACGCGAGAACTCCATGTAGAAAACATCGCCTCGCCATCCGTGTAACAGTTGTGGCCTTAGGCTCCATATTGACACTTCTGGGGGTGCGTCAAAGATTGTTTCCCCACCCGAAAGGTAGGGGTCGTTAGATTCTACAAACCTCCCGACCCGCCAACCCTGCATACCGCGGCCGCTAGATCCCCAGGTCCACCGAGAATCCCCGAGCCTCCCTCCCCTCCCGACCCGACTGGCTCACTCTGCATGCTGTGGTCGCCAGATCTCCAGGTCCACCGAGAATTGTGAGCGTGACGGGATATAACCAAAAGCGCAGAGCATACCGGAGCAGAACACGACAAATCCGAATATAATAACTGAACATACTATAACCGAAACGAGCATAACCAGATACTGCATCACACACTAGACAGTACTACAACATGCCGATTCGTTAGATGACGGAACATAATATAACAAACCATAGCATACCATCACACACCGTGGCATTACATAACAGGGCGCGACTCAACGTAGCCGAACACCTACGTGCGAAACATGGCAAGCCATAACCTGCCATAGAACCTTGCAACATGGTAGCAACCCATGCCATGGCAAAACATAGCATGGCGGAGCGCGACATACCAGAGAACATTGCAGCATGCCAGAACACAACCTACCATACCGTCGCCGCCAATATACATCACCGTGGAACAGAAGCATTGTTAATCAAAAACCATATAAAGGTATTACATGACCAACGGGGCGTACTAGAGTATACCATACCATTCCTGAACATACATTAACATGAACCATAGAAATCAACAGGACACACCGTAAGCAACAAATCATCGCATGTCTTTTGCACTACTGGAACCACTACGGCAGCAACACTGACCTATCATCTGCGACAATACACACTTGAGAAGATACGTCACACACCGAACATAGCGCACCAACACAGCCTAACATACTCGAACATGATATCGCAGCATAACATAACACCTCATCGCATGACAGAGCTGAGCATCACTGTCCACTCTAACACCACAGGGCGAACCGCCACTCAGGGCGATCATCATAACACACTCGCTCGCACCCCAACTCTCCGACACCGTGCTTGCAGCGGCTGGTGTGCGTCGGGCGCTCTCTCGCCACGCGAAGCCAGGGAGACCTGTGGCCCCCCGACGCGCCGAGCCCAGAGACGCTGTCGCTTGTGTGACCAAGCCCCTGCGTCTTCTGGCCTCCCAAGGAGACCACGGCCCCGAGCACCGCGCCCGCGGAGCGCGGGCTCCCTGTTCGCTCCCCCCGTGTCAGAAAAAACCTGCTGACTTTCGGACGTCGGCTCGTCCCCGGTCTCCGCGGCGCCCCTTCCCCTGTCTATGTATCCCCTGCTCCCCTGCACCCCCCTCCCTCCTGGGCCGCGGAAGCCTTTCTTTTCGTTCGGTTTGTTCGTTCGCTCGTGGTTCGCCCGTGGCCTCTCCGCGCCCCCTCCGCGTCTCAACTTGTCCTTCCCCCCCTCCAAGGCGCCCGCCCGCCCGCCCCGCCGCCCGCCCGAGCGCCGCGCGGTGGACCCGCGCGGCAGCGCCACGGGATGCCCAACCGCGGCCTGCGCGCCGAGGCCGGCCTGGCCACGGGAAGAAACAGGACCGACCGACTGGACGACGTGCGTAACGTGACAGGCGTCACGGCGTGACGACGGCCAGTCGAGAACACAACAGAGCGCAGCACAGCATAACAGCACAACACAGCAGGCTCACGCACATGCGAATGCTGCTGAGTGCAACACAGCCGATGAATAGCGCCCTGTCGAACGCAACGCCCACGCCGAAAGACATAGGCAAGCGCAACAACGAAAGGCTAGACGACAAATCAACCGTGACAAGCGTGACGACGTCACGCCACCCAGTGGAAAGTTGAACGGAACGAGCCGAATGAGCACACAACAGAACACAACCGAACAGATCGTCGGAGTAAAATATAGCGAGGACTGACGAATGCCGTCCTACCATGCACGCGACACGCGCGCCGAGCCCACGTTGACCACAGAAACAAACAGTAGCAACGCGTACTGACAAGAAGACATACCACACGTGATAGGTGTCACGACGTCTCGCATCCCGTCCAGAGCAGAACACAACATGACATAACATAAGTTTATGTACTACACTGGGCCACAAGTCATGCCAACCTAATAGAGCACAACGAAGTAATCTACACATTCCACCAATTCACAAAGTCCCTTCCAACAAACATCATAACATAACCGACTTTACAACAATATGACCAGACGCGACCTGCGCGCTGAAGTCAGGCTGGCCACGGGAACGAACAGGCGCAGCAACGACAGATTGGACGACGTACCTAGCGTGACAGGCGTCACGACGTCATGCCAGCCCGTGGAGAACACAACAAACCGCAGTGAAGTATGATACATTAGCATGTGATGGGTCTCTACATCGCTGGATACTGTTCAATACAGGAACCACCGTCTCATGGCGCCCTGACGAGCGCAACATCCAGGCCGACGTAAGGCTGGCCACAACACCAACACGGGCGTAACAACGACCGAATCGACGACATATCAAACGTGACAGACGTGACGATGTCACGCCATTCCGTCAAAAGCATCACATCACCGAACATACGTTACATACTATCATACAACGAAGGCTAACGAATGCCGTCATACCATACACGCGACATTCGCGCCAATCCTACGTTTGCCACAGAAACAAACAATTATCCGGGCGAAAGACCCAACTATATGTAGATGTAAGTAAGGCGTTGTGGGTGCCGCTTTCGGTGGAGCTCCCTATGGGGCCACGACGCGCGTGAGGGACGTGCCGTAGTGGGTGGGGGAGACGCATGCGGGCGGTGCCACTGGGGCCTTCGGTTGGCTTCCCTATGGGCCACGAAACGCTGTACTGGGTGTGGCGGACGCATGCGGGCGGTGCCCCTTGCTGGAGCTCCCGATGAGGCCACGAAACGCTGTACTGGTTGGGGGGAGACGCATGCGGGCGGTGCCACTGGGGTCTTTCTGTGGAGCTCCCTAGGATGCCACGAAACGCTGTACTGTGTGGTGGCCGACGCATGCGGGCGGTGCCAGTGGGTGCTTCGGTGGAGCTCCCAATGGGGCCACGAAACGCTGTACTGGGAGGGGGGGACGCATGCGGGCGGTGCCACTGGGGCCGTCGGTGGAGCTCCCTATGGGCCCACGAAACGCTGTCCCGGGCGGGGGGGTCGCATGTGGGCGGCACGAAACGCTGTACCGGGTGGGGAGGGACGCATGCGGGCGGTGCCACTGGGGCTTGGTGGAGCTCCCAATCAATGGGGCCGCGAACTGAAGTACTGGGTGGTGGACAACGTATGCGGGCGGTGCCACTGGGGTCTTTCTGTCGAGCTCCCTACGGGGCCACGAAACGCTGTACTGGGTGGTGGCTGACGCATGCGGGCGGTACCACTGTGACCATCGGTGGAGTTCCCTATGGGGCAACGACATGCTGTACTGAGTGGTGGCTGGCGCATGCGGGCGGTCTCACTGGAACCTTCGGTGGAGCTCCCTATGGGACCACGAAGCGCTGTAATGGGGGGTGGCTGACGCATGCGGGCGGTGCCACTGGGGCCTTCGGTGGAGTCCCCTATGGGGCCACGAAACGCTGTGCTGGGTGGTGGGCTCCCAGACCAGCAGCGCCTATAGTCCTATACCTTGGACATACCTTGGGCAGATACGCGGTCCGCTGTGCCGCCAGGCGTGCAAGAAAGCCGCCGCAGTGCCCCCGGCGCGCGGTAAGTCTCCCAGCAACTCCGCCTTGAGCGAACGCACGTGCAGCCAAAAGGCTCACAGTGATCGGCGGCGAGCGAGGGGGGAAGTGAGAAGGGGCGGGCCTTCTCAGAAGGCTTGAAAGTCTCCCGGCCTTCTGAAACGTTGTCTGAGCCTTCCACGAAGACACGGACAACCAGTCCGAAGGCGCGAGGGCTTCTGGGAAGTCCCGCCACATTCTGACAAGCCCCCTATTCTCACTTCCCACCCTCGCTCGCCTCCGAAGTGAGCACGAAGCCGCTTTAGGAGCCCAGTCGCGCCTGCATTTACGGAGGGCGTCCGAGGAACGTGAGCAAGGACGAACCGAGGAAAACCGACACCCCTCCGAACCCAAAGTGCTCTAGACGCTCCAGGTTCCTGGAAAAGCTGCAAAGCACGTGCGGGGCCAGAGACGATAGGCGGCTACTTCTGCGATGCATCGGCGACGGCGACACGGAGAAACTCGGGATCCACATCGAGCTGCCTCGCCGATGCATCAGCGATGCGGCGCGCTCCTCCGACCCCAGCCACTCGGACACCACCTGCGAGGAGCACGGGCTTGTCAGCTCCCCCCGGCGCCACGCGCAGGGGACAATGTGAATGGGGGCTGCGGCAGCTGCGGGGAGGGCGCGCGGGTGCGGCAGCGTTGCCCAGTCGCCCGCGTCTGGCGCTGGTCTCTGGCACCGCGCTCGGCTGCGCGTAAGAGCGATCCTGGACAAGAGTGACCTTTGGGGCGCGGCTTTGGGGGGGGAGGGCGCGAGGGAGCCAAACCCCTGTGCGCAGGCCGCTGCCACCGCATCGCGTTCAGCGGTCGGGGGGGCCCAGTGTGCGGCCCAGTGTGCCCGCACCGGAGGCCCCCCAGGCGAGGGGTCACTCCTGATGCGGGATGACGATTAATCAAAAAAATAAGAGAGAACGATTAAAAAATAGCTTTCTGCTAGTTCTGCACATGTTTATGACTGGAGGAGAACGATTAAAAAGATAGTTGTCCAGCCCGCGGCCGGCTTTCTCTAATCGTCATCCCGGGCGCCGCCGCGTGAACACGACCCCCGGCCATGTATTTATCGCCATCGTCCATTACTGCAGGTTCGTGTCGTGTCGACCCCGGCGTTGGTTCCCGACACCGCGCTGGATCGTTCAACCTTGAACGATCGGCCGTCTCCGCAACGTCCGATCGTTCAACATCGATCGATTCTGGGTCGCCGGCGGCGTTCAACCTTGAACGCCCGCGCTGGGGTCGCCGCTGGTCGACACGACGCAAACCTACCGTACGTGCAGTCGATGCCTGGACCGTCTCATTCTCACGGCTTCCGGTAGAGCCACCCCGTGGGCCACCGGAGGCGTAGGACCCCGACGCCGCCGCGCCAGCGCGGCGCGGGCCTCCCGCACCACCCGCGGCCTGGCGCGGCCCCCTGCAGGGGGCGCACGCGGCACGCCGCTCGGAGGAGAGCACGACGCGCAGCCGGTGGACCCCATCGCCCGCGCCGTCGGCGGGGCTCCCCCGCGAAGGCGCGCTAACATGCCGCCATCCACGGGCTGTAACCACCCTTTCTGCCTCCGCCGAGCGGCGACGACGACGACGACGACGACGACGACGACGACGACGACGACCACAAACACAACCACGACGACGACGACAACGACGACGACGACGACGACGATTGCCTCCACTCGTGCACACGCAGGCCGCTCCCGGGCGCGCCCCAGCCCCAAACCCCAAGACGAAGCCAAGCTCAGAGCAGCAACGTACCATACCTCAGATCGGGGATCGCAGAGAGGCCTCGCAGGTCTGGAGGAGGGCAGAACCTAAACGGTGTTTTGTTCGTTTTCGTTTTGTTCTCGTTTGCCATCGTTTTGTCTTCAACCCACCTTTACAGCAAAACGAGGTCGAAACGAAAACGGCCCACGAAATCTCCAAACCACCGTTTAGGTCCACCCCTGGTCTGGAATATGCGTCGGGCGCCGCGGCAATTCCAGAGCGCTCCGAGGAACTCTCTGAGCCCCAAACCCCGACGCCATGGTCTTCTCGAACTCCTGGACTCCTGGCGGGCTCGACCCAGGCCCTACCCGGATCATTGGCTACCGATGTTTGTCGGTCGCGATCGGTAGCGACCGATCGGCACTCCAAATGTGTCGCGACCTATCGCGACCGACCCCAGAATCGGTCGCCACCGATCGCGACCGAGTGGTCGCGAACGCTCGGTCGCGACTGTTTTTCAAGCAAATCGGTCGCGACCGATACCGAACTTTGAAGCAAAATCGGTAGCGACCATTTTCCTCGGTCGCGACTTGAATTTGAGCAGGGACCGACCGTCCCGGCATTCCTATAGGGATACCACGACATGGCTAAACTTGTTCTAAGAACAAAAACAAAGTTCTTAGAACATAAGCCCGATGTGTGCAAACAAGACGACCACGGCCAGAACTGTTCTCAGAACATTTCGTGCAGACCATAGAATGAAGGCTCTCAGAACATTCTTCCGTGGGGCACTATGGGCGAGCCAGGACGCTTCGCCACTGCTCGAGGCAATATTCCAGCATCCAATGATCAGGAGGGGGGCCTGGGCACGGAGATCGCTGCGAGGCGGACCTGGGACCCCTGGGCCTGCACCACGAGCAGGCCGCCTCGTCCACGAACCCGACCAGGACCTCGCGCCCGCCCCCGAGGTAAGCCAATGCCGCAGACGATCCCTACTCTTATGTTGTTCCCAGCGTACTAAGGACCACATCCCAGAAATACTTTCGAGCACCTGGAAACGTATCGAAAGAGTGTCGAAACAGCGTCGGACGAGTGTCGCCCAGGGCCCGACACGTGAAAATCATAGAGTCTTTTGGTGCTCGAAATACTTTCTGGTGGTAAAGGCTAGAGCAGATTGGAACATCAATACCCCACTCGAAATCTCGAATCGACTCGCAACTACTCGGAGTGGGCTGGGGAAACCAAAAAGTGTCGATACCGCTACTCCGCGGACCTTCTTCTGGATGCGTTCTGACCAGGATCTCGAGGCGACTCCTGCGGCGGCAACGGGGGCCTCACAGGAGGCCCCCAGACAAGCAAAACGAGGGAAGGGCAATGGCATGGGTACCTTTTTCTCCTCTGATGGGTCGGCCAAGATCGATGCTAGAATCGGGTCAATCGCATCGAGCACGAGCACCACAGAAAGGCCGCCTCGTCCACGCAACACGTCGCGCTCTCCCTCGCAAGACCACCGAAACCCGAGACACCCAGGGCACCCTGGAGGCAAGCAGGGTGTTTCTTGGCATGGGTCTCCACTGGTTTTTGGTATTTGGGTCACAACTCGGGTCTCCCGTTCGGGACGATCCAGGCACCCCCGGAACGCCCTCGACGAGGCGCAGCTTCTGACAGGCATCCCGAGGCTGGAAAACCCCAGGAAAACGGCGAAAACGCCCGAAAGCCTCGAATCTCGAACCCGAACCTCGAACCCGAACCCTGTGCAGACTCGGGCCGACTGGACCAAGCACGAGCACCACGGGCAGGCTGCACGGTTTCCCCCGGGGCCGTAGGCGACCCGAGGAGGAGGAGGAGGAGGAGGAGGAGGAGGAGGAGGAGGAGGAGGCGGAGGAGGAGGTAGAGGAGGGGGAGGGGGAGGAGATAGAGGGAGGGGGAGGGGAGGGGGAGGAGGAGGAGGAGGAGGAGGAGGAGGAGGAGGAGGAGAGGAGGAGGAGGAGGAGGAGGAGGAGGAGAGGAGGAGGAGGAGGAGGAGGAGGAGGAGGAGGCGGAGGAGGAGGAGGAGGAGAGGAGGAGGGGGGAGGAGGAGGAAGGAGGAGGAAGGAGGAGGAGGAGGAGGAGGAGGAGGAGGAGGAGGAGGAGGAGGAGGACGGGTCGCCTAAGCCCTTCGGCGAAACCCTCCACGGGCAGGCGGCCTCGTCCACGAACACGACCAGGTCCTCGCGCCCGTCCCCCGTGACCAGCACGCCCACGCGCTGCCCCTCCCGCAGCCTGGCGCACACGGGCCTTTTGCTGCCCGCGCCCCCACCGACCAGCCGCGCCCTCGCGCCGGGCCTCTTGCGTTCAGGTGGGTCTTGGATGCTCGTTCTGGGGACCTTCCTGGAGCCACTCGCGCCACTCGTGCGTCGAAGCTGCGTCGAACGTCCGTCGAGTTGGGTCGACCCTGAGTCGAACCTGAGTCGGACCTGAGTCGAACTTGTGTCGAACTTGAGTCGAACTTGAGTCGAACTGGGGTCGAACAGATCCGTTAGGTGGGCTCCAGGAAGGTCCCCGAAACGAGCATCTAGTGGGCCTGTCCTCCTACAAGCGGATTTTGGAGGAAAAGTCAAAATGCCCAACAATATACAAAAAAACGCTCAAGAACGGTCACACCATAGTCCCCGTATGAGTTTTGACCTATTTTTGAGTGTTCCTCCTGTAGAGGGACACGCCCGACTTAACTCTTGCGGGCGCAATCAAGCCGCATGATGAGGACGCGCGAGAAGGATGAAAGGGCCTATCGAAGAAGAACAAACGCCATTAACATGAACTTTCGGCGCTCCGCGCGGTTCTCTTGGATCCGCGCTGAGCACCCCCGGCGGCGCCTCCGGCGTCGCCCCTGACGCGCTCAACGCGCCAGGGAGGGGGGTCCGGCGCAGATCCAAGAGATCCGTTTTCGTTCTTATAGCCTATGAAGGCCATGTCGAAGCTTTTCGAGCAGGGCGCGGTCCACGAGAGTGGCCAAGGATAGACCGAGGAGGCACGGGTGTAAGGGTACCCTCGGGAAGGTTGCCCATGCTTACACTGCGGATTGATTATGAGGGCCCAGGGACGGCTGAAGGAGCCCAGGGACAAACAAACAGATAGGCACTAAGACGACGCCAGGGCGAGGATAACATCGGGTGAGGACAAAACGAGAACCTCTAAGATCCGGCGGCTCTGGGGGATGTCTCGGGCGCCGCGGCTCTCTGAGCGCGCTCCGGAACGCTCTGGGAGCGTGCGGGAACGCCCTGAAGCAGATTGATCCTCGTCCAAGCCACCCGTCTGGAACAAACAGTTACCAGGTGCAGGCCTTCCCCTCTGCTCCCCACGTGCTCCACGCCTTCCCGGGAATCGACGCTTCTGCGCGCCCGTGTTTGTGTCTTTCCTCTCCGAACAACATCGGAAAAAGGATCGTGCCATGCCGACCCCGACGTTGGCCCCCGACACCGCGGGGACCGTTCCATCTGGAACGATCGGCCGTTTCCGAAACGCCTCAACCACGCTGTACGTGTAGGCCTGCGTGTCGGCCTCGGCTTTGGGTGGCCTGGACCCCCCTGCTCGTCCTCGAAAGTCGCGTGGCCGCTCTGCTCGACGGCGCCCAGAATCAATGCCCTCGCCAGCAGAGCGATGTCCTGACAGCGGATCCTCTGCCTCCGCCTGCGTTCAGCGGCCTCACAGGCACGCCTCGCTGGCAGTCTACGTCTCGTTGGTGGCATGGGACTGGCCCTGACACGGGGCGGCGCGCCCAGGAGGTCAGTCCCAGCAACGGCCCACCCCCCCGAGGGGTGAAGAGGCTTGGGCCACGATGGGTACGTACGGACCTTCGTCCTCCTCCTCCTCCTCCTCCTCCTCCTCCTCCTTCGTCTCCTCTTCCTCCTCATCCTCCTCCTCCGCCTCCTCCTCCTCCTCCTCATCCTCCTCCTCCCCCTCCTCCTCCCCATCCCCCCGACGCGCAGCCTGGCCTGTCTGGCTGCCACTGACACCGGGCCTCGACGCCGTTCAGGTGCGCGGAGCCCGAATAGCCGATGATGAACGTGCGGGGGATGTTGCACGCCTCGTGCGGCTCCTTCTCCTCCTCCTCCTCCTCCACCTCCTCCTCCACCCTTCTCCATCCTTTTCCTGCTTCACCGCCCGTCTCCTACTCCTCATCGATCTTCCCCCCTCAAACTTACAATTAATTCTGATCCTCATCCAGCATCCATCATCTACCTTCCTTTTCCTCCTCCTCGATCCACCCCATCCCTAGACCTACTCCTTCTCATTATTCCCCTCCTCATCCTCCTCTCTCCACCTCTTCATCCTTCCTCTCCTCCAGCTCCATCCTTTGCTACTCAGCTCTCCGCCTCGCCACTTCATATCCTCGCCCAGGCTCCATCGTCCTGCCCATCCATCCCCCTCCGCATCCACCTAATCAATAGTCCCCCTCCTGCTCCTTTCCCCCTCCTTCTACTCCGTCTTCCCCCCATCCCCCTACACACCCTTCTTGCCCACCTGCTCTTCTTCTGTTCCTCCTGTCTCTCCTCATCCTCCTCATCACCCTCCGTTCTCCCCTTCCTCCCTATGGAGCTCCTTGTACTCATTGTTCGCATCCTCCTCATCCCCATCCACCTCCTCCTCCTCCTCATCATAAGCCTAACCACCAACATCAGATTAGGGGATCACCATGACTGCCACATCAGCATCAGCATCGTCATCATCATCATCATCATCATCATCATCATCAGCAGCAGCAGCATCAGCATCATAATCATCATCATCATCAGCAGCGTCATCAAACTCACCATTAGCATCATCATTATCATTCATTATCATCATCAGCATCGTCATCACCAGCATCATTAGTAGCATCATCATCATCATCATCATTATCATCTGCAGCATCATCATCAGCATCCTGATCAGTATCATGATCAGCATAATCGCCATCATCGTGATCACCATCATCCTCAACATCATCAGCATCACCGCCACAATCATCACCTTCAGCATCCTTATCACAATCATATTCAGGCATCATCACGACCATTCCAATCAGCATAACCAGCGCCATGACCATCACCATCATCATCACCTCCATCATCATCATAGTCAGCATCAGCATGCTTAATAACATAATCATCATCAGCAGCATCAACATCATCACGATCATCATCATCATCATCATCATCATCATCATCATCAGCAGCATCAGCATCAGCATCATCATCATCATCATCATCATCATCATCATCATCATCATCATCATCATCATCATCATCATCATCATCATCGCCGTCAGCATCATCATCAGCATCATGATCATTAACATCATCAGCATCAGCATCAGCATCATCATCACCATCCTCGTCGTCGTAGTCATCATCACCCTATCATCATCACCATCATCATCAGCAGCACCATCAACATCACCACCACCACAACCACCATTATCACCATCACCATCGCCATCGTCCTCGTCCTCGTCCTCGTCATCGCGAGCGTCACCACCGTCCATTTCCTCACCCTCGCCATCCCACTCCCAGCACTCTCAAACAAGCAAAAGAAACCATCGTCCCCCTGCGATCAGGAGCTTACACTTCCCGATTCCCCCTCCCCCATCCCTCGAGTCTCGAAAGAAAAAATCTGCGGATCGTTAACGGGTCCTGTACGGCACTAGGCACTGCATACTAAGAGGGGTCCAGATAACCAGCGACGATCTGGCCCAGACTTGCTAAGATGGTCTCGAGCGCATTTGCAAGAGGACCTGGAAAGAAAGCGTCATAGGTCTCAGGCGGTCCCCGAGCCTCCCAATGCTCCTCCAAAAATGCCCCACCCAACGCACAAGTTGAATGCTCAGCTGTTGTTGCCGTCTCTTGATCTTCGGCTTCCGATGGGAATCTGGAGCCCCCATATGGCCCCAGCATGATCAGTGAGATACCCAAGAGGCAACCAGAGCTCCAAGCGGACCCTGCGGGCCGCTAAGAGTACCCCAAGCGTGCGCCAGGATAGGGCTCTCGCGGACCGCAGCGGGGAGCAGGGCCCACCCTTGCTTGGCAGCTGGCCTCCAGCATGGCCGCGAGAAGAGGGGCCCCGAGACAGGGGGGCCACGGCCCCTCTCCTTGCTCGGTCGCCGGCCTCAAGCGCGGCCCCAAGAAGGCCCCACGAGGGCCCTGACAGAGCCCTGACGAGGCCCCCGGGGCTCCCACAGCAACCAGTAGGGCATCCAGTAGGTTCAAGTTGGACCATTTGTTGGCGGGGCTCCTTAGGATGATCCATGCCATGGTCTGATGTCTGCCCCGTTCTCTGCCTTACCACGTAGTGCACGTCCACCTCCTTCTCACGAAAAGCTGGCCGGGAGGATTGACTGGCATCACCCCGCGCGCAACAGGGACAGCACTCCAACAGCGGATGTCCATCTGAAACCCCATGCCCCCGTGGAAAAGCGGCGGGGGTAACCCCGTGCACAACTGGAGAGAAAAATGTGCCCCAACAAGGGCCCAAGCAGTAAGCTGCTACGCTGTGAGTGTGCAAGCGCTGCTGGACAAGACATGGCGTAAAGAATGATATTTGCGGTAAAAGCTAATAGGTGGAATTGACTTACCGTTAATTGAGTTGGCGACTCCAGTGTGATTGCGATTACCGATCGACGATTGCGTGACCTGTTCAACCGTGATTGCGATTACCGATCGACGACAACGACGACGGCGACGACGACTACAACAACGGCTACGACGACGACGACGACGGCGACGACGATGCGCGCGGCCGCGCGCATGTGCCCCGCATGGTGTCATTTGACAGGGATTGTGCCTCTGGCACGCGCGCGGAAATTGTCGAATGAGTTCGGCGTGCGCGCGAGAAGTTGCCCGCGAAGCCCCGCGTGACATGAGTGTTCAAAAACCCACGGTTTTTGAATGATTATGCAAGCGCGCGCGAACAGATTTTCGTAATTTCCCAATGCGCAAGTGGTATTATTTCCAATGAATTATTGAAGGCCGATCTTGCACTTGTTGAAATCAGAATGTGCTTGGGGGGATGTCGGCATGCGCGCTCGGAGGCCGCGCGCACGTGCGCCTCATAGTCTTATTTACAAGGGATGGCGAGCCTGGCAAGCGCGCGAAGGTTGTTGAGCTATCTCGACGTGCGAGCGAAAGTGGCCCGTGAAGGCCCATTTGGCAGGAACGTTGAACAACCATGCGCTGGTTTTTTAAAGATCCTGCAAGAGCGCGCGGGCAGAATGTGCAACGCTTGTGGGTGAGAAAGTCGTGTTTGTCTTTTACAATGGAAAAATTAATTCCGATCTTGAAACTGTTGAAACCACCATGTGTTTATAAGGGTTTCGACATGCGCGCGCGGCGGCCGCGCGCATGTGCGCGTTATGGTACTATTTACAAGGGATTCGTCAAAACGTGTGCCTCTGGCACGCGCGCGGAAGTTGTCGAATGAGTTCGGCGTGCGAGCGAGAAGTTACCCGCGAAGCCCCGCGTGACATGAATGTTCAAAAACCACTGGTTTTTTTTTTTTTGAATGTTTACGCAAGCGCGCGCGAACAGATTTTCGTAATTTTCCAATGCGCAAGTGGTCTTATTTCCCATGCGTTATTGGAGTCCGATCTTGAAATTGTTGAAATCACAATGTGCTTGGGGGGATTTCGGCATGCGCGCGCGGAGGCTGCGCGCATGTGCGCCTTATGGTATCATTCACAAGGGATGGCGCGTCTGGCAAGCGCGCGGAGGTTGCTGAATTATCTCGACGTGCGGGCGAAAGTGGCCCGTGAAGGCCCATTTGGCAGGAATGTTGAAAAACCATGGGTTGTTTGAAAGATTCTGCAAGAGCGCGCGGGCAGAATTTCCAAAGTTCTTGGGTGAGAAAGTCATGTTTTTAGAACGAATGCTTTAAATCCGATCTTGAAAACGTTGGAGCCACAGTGTGTTTAAAAGGATTTCGAAATGCGCGCGCGGCGGCCGCGCGCATGTGCGCCTTATGGTATCATGTACAAGGGATGCGTGAACACGTGTTATGTTAGAATGGAAATGTCACCGCAGAGTGTCTTTCACAAGGGAACCTCCGGGGGGGAACCGGCTTGGCCTGGGACGCTGCGATTTCATATGTAGGATGGACATATGGTAATAATCATATGTGATTTACAGACGACGCGGGGGGAGTGATCACGCCGGGGGGGGTAGAGTTTATATCTCTTTCAGAAATGATAATCTGGGATGTATGGGCTGCGCGTTGCGCTGTGCGTGGTGACGAAAGTGTGATGCAACAAACGTGTAAACTACGTGGTGTGAGTATGTATGTATGTATATATTCATGTATATATAAATATGTACATATGATTATATATATATATGAAAAAGGGTGCGCAATGCAATCCGTGCGGCCGCCCAGCGCACGAGGCACCCGCAAGGCGGCTAAAGGGGGGTCACGGCGGCCACGGTCGGGCACCAGGCGAAACCTCAGCACACACACGCACGCACAACGCACGAGGCTCTCACGATGGCCCATGAAACGCCAACGCGGCGCTCGCGGGCGGACGAAAAAATTAGGCGAAGCTTCGGCACGCCCACCAAGCGCACGGTGCACGATGCACCCACGAGGCGCCCACGGGCGGGCACTGGGCGGAACTTCGGCACGCCCACTTGAGCGCACGATGCGCCCACGAGGCGCCCACGGGCGGGCACAAGGCGAAATTTTCACACACACACACACACACACATACACGCACACGCACACGCGCACACGCAAACACACACACAAACACAAACACACAAACACACACAAACACACATACACACAGCGCACGAGGCGCCCACATGGCGCATAGCGCACAATGGCGGGCACCAAGCGAAACCTCGGCAAACCCACCAAGCGTACGAGGCGCCCACGAGGCGCCTATGGGCGGGCCATCAGGCACGCGAGCGTGGCGCCCACGAGGCGCCCACTGGGCGCCCACCAACTGGGCACCAGCCGCAAATCCTGCACACCCATCGAATTACGCACTTGATGAATTCCACGTGCAAAAAACCTGGGTGCCAGCACTGTAAGAAAATCAAGCGAGTTCAGACTAGAGCGACGGGTGGCAACGTCGACGGGGGCGGTGCTTGCACGAACTATTGCACGAACTCTTGCGCGGGGGGCACGAACTAATACCAGGGGCCAGAAATGCTTCGTTGAGTCCCGAACGCAACGATTGCATCCACGCGCGACTGTTGCGTTGCTCGGGGCCACGACAGACGCGGCACGGCAGCCTCTCCCAAGCCCCTCCCAGCCTCGCGCTCGCGACCATTCACACGCGCCGTCCGGCCCTTCCTCGGCACGGAGGTGGGTGATCCAGCAGAGGGCTGTCCCCACCAAGCCGCGGCGCGCTGGGTTCGGTCGGCCACCCCGCCCAAGTCGCCGCCGTTGGGTCCGTAGTTTCGTCGCGGGTGGCTCTTCTCTCCAGGCCCCTGGCCGTGCATGCCTGCTTGTTGCTGCTTCCCCTCCCCTCGGCCTCGGCAGAAGCCCGGGACCCGTCGGCGGCACCGGAGCGCCGCGGCTGCCCCGCAGCCCCTGCAGGATTCCACCAGGACGGGCCAGGGCAACCTGCCGCCGCCGGGGGCCCACGGTCCAGCAGGCGACCCGCCCCGGCGCCACGCCGACCGCGCGTCAGGAGAGCGGGCCGGCAGGCTCATGGGGGAGCCCGGGCTGGCCTGGACCACGGCGGGGGCTGAACTATGGCGAGCGCTGTGGGCCCCAGGGGGGGGAAAGGGAGAGTCGGAGGAGCAGGAGGAGGACGAGGACGAGGAGGAGGATGAGGTCGAGGATGAGGAGGAGATTGAGGAGTAGGAGGAGGAGGAGGAGGAGGAGGAGGAGGAGGAGGAGGAAGAGGAGGAGGAGGAGGAGGAGGAGGAGGAGGAGGAGGAAGAAGAGGTCGAGGAGGAGGAGACGAGGAAGTGGGGGAGGAGGGGGGAGGAGAGGCAACCGACGAGGAGGAGAGGGGGGGATAACGGGGAGGAGGAGGAGGAGGAGGAGGAGAGGAGGAGGAGGAGGAGCAGGAGGAGGAGGAGGAGGAGATTGAGGAGTAGGAGGAGGAGGAGGAGGAGGAGGAGGAGGGAGGAGGAGGAGGAGGAGGGAGAGAGAGAGAGAGGGGGCACAGTTATACTATCCCCTCCCCTGGGAACATGCCCGAGCCCTTGGTGCAGCCCGCCCACCTCGGCGGCAGTCGCATCCGTGCCTGCCGAGCAGGACGGAAGACAGGCGGCGCCCCAGCCAGGCACCTCGGAGGTATTGACTGGGACAGCCCCACGGGGGGGAAATGAGAGGGAGCCCTCCCCCTCTCCTTGCTCCTCTCTCCCTCCTCCTTCCATCCATTCCTCTCCTCCTCCTCCTCCTCTCTTCTCCCCTTCCACCTCTTGCCTCTCCTCCTCCCCCTCTCCCCTCCTTCCTCCTCTCCTCCACCTCGCCAGCTCCTCCTCCTCCTCCTCCTCCTCCTCCTCATCCTCATCCTCCTCCTCCTCCTCCTCCTCCTCCTCCTCCTCCTCCCTCCTCCTCACGCCCCTCCCTCCCTCCACCCATCCCTTTCATCCCTCCCATCCCGTCCATCCCCCCTAATTAACCCTCCTCCACAATTGCACAATATGAATACTACTCTAATCTCTTCCCTGGTGACATCTGGGAAATGGCCGGCCCCCCTTCGCTTACTGGTTTTTTACAAACAGGATTCCCGGGAAACGGGAATTCGCTCGGATGTTTTTTCCAAAATGGCGCTGTAGCTGAGGCGCTGGCTTCATATTCGGGCCACAGCTCGTTCCGAATCGTGCTCCCGCTGCAGCGCTGGCCTCATTTCCGCGCTTCCGCTCGTTCCGAATCGCGATCCCGCTGCTGCGCTGGCGTCATTATTTCCAGCACCATGCCACGGTATGGTTTTCGGTCCTTCCAAATAGGCTCCCAAATCGGAAGTGATTCCACATTCGGTGTCGATTCGTTGATTTTTTGGGCCGCAGAAGCCCCCCCTTGGGGCGTCGCCACGCCATGCTGTGCCATGCTACGCGTTGATATTCAACACCATGCTATGCCATGTAATGCTACACCATGCTACGACATCCGATTGTGCGAATAGGGAAGAGATCTACGCCATGGTGAGGGATGGGAGGGAGGGGTAGAACGTCAGATATGACTCGAGCGCACCTAGCTTGTCCTCCCCCTCCCTCCTCCGCCGCAGCGGGGCCCGCGCCTTGTCCGGCATCCGCTGCTGCATGCTGGCGGGCGCGGTGTGCGTGACGCCCACCGCCAGGCCGCCGAGCCAGCCGTCGACCACGCTCTGAACGGTGACCTCCGGGGCCCCAGGCTTAGGTCGGGCATGTCCTCGTACAGGCGGATTTTGGACGAAAAAATATCTCAAAAGAAAACCTAACAAAGGTCAACAAAAACTAGAAACATCGTCTCCAGACTATTTTTTACTATCATTGAAAATTCCTCCTGTAGAGGGACATGCCCGACTTACCCCCAGGCCTCGATTATCTCGTCGGAAGAGGGCAGGCATGAGCTGGATCGAGTCGAGAGATCGAATCGGGTGAGATCGCCAGCGAATCGTCCCGAATCGGATCGAAATCGGATCGCCGCGCCAAACTCCGGTTGGCACCGGCCGATGCTGGTGAAACGGACCGAATCGAATCGAATCGGAATCACGGCCCCAGCTGGCGAATCGAATCGCATCGCATCGAATCGTCGGCGTCCCTGGAGGGCCAGTTTTGGCAGCGACGGCCCTCGCTGGCGTTTGTCGTCCGCCCCTCCTGGGAGCTTCTCGTCGCCGCCTCGAAGAAAGGGTAAGGATGGGAGGGGTCTGAGGACAGATGTTGAGCGGATTTGGACTTGGTGGGCAAGCGGCTTCCCCTCAGATCTGGGCGTGGGAAGGATCTGACAGTTCTCCCTCATGTTTTCTGACTGCGAGCCGAGATCGTCCAAAACCGTTCGAGATGAAATGCCGGTCCCGGGGAAGAGCTCGAGATCCTCAGGGAGCCCACGTCGCGAAAGAGAACGGCCGTCGGAGGAGCGCGTGCCGGCGCCAGTCGACCGAAGCCCCTCGGTGCGGCGTGGGCAGCGCAGTGAGGGCCAGCGGGGGCTGCGCGCGCCATCGGTGGAACCGAGCGGGAAAGGCACACACACAAAAACAAGCACATACACAAATACAAGCACAAGCACAAGCACAATCACAACCAATGGCACAGGCACAAACACAAGCACAACATTAAACACGAACGCAAGCACAAACACAAACACAAGCACTAACACAATGACGAACAAAACAGAAACACAAGCACACGCACAAACACACACACACACACAAGCACACGCACAGACGCAAGCACACTCACCAGCACAACAACAACAACAACAACAACAACAACAACAACAACAACAACAACACAACAACAACAACAGCAACAACAACAACAGCAGCAGCAACAACAACAACAACAACAACAACAACAACAACAACAACAACAACAACAGCAGTAACAACAACAACACCAACAATAACAACAACAACAACAACAACAACAACAACAACGACGACGACGACAACAACAACAACATCAACAACAACAACAACGACAGCAACAACAACAGCAACAACAACAGCAACAACAAGCACAATAACAACCACAGCGACAGCAACAACAGCAGCAACAACAACAACAACGACAACAACAACATCCACAAACACACACACACACACACACACAGATACACACAAGCACACACCGGGCCATCGCTCGGTGTGCCGCCTGTCGTTTGCCTGGATTGCCACACGCTGGAGCGGACTGCCTCGTTTGGTGTCCGTTCCATGGGAGCCTGCGTGGCCCCCGGCACTGTCCAATTTGGGCCTGACTTGGACCAGATTTGCAACACATTTGGACCGGATTTGAACCAGACTTGGACTGGACTCGTGGGGGCTGGGAGCACGAGGAGGCGGAGGGGGAACAGGAGCGGAGAGGAGGAGCAGGAGCATGAGCCAAACGCGGTCCCCACGACGTCCACATGCAGGAAAAGCTGATTCCAATGTCGCCGCCCAAGGCTCCCACAAACAGACATCCCAGACCCCCGACGTCATGATCTTTTCATGACGTCGGCCCCCAGAGGTCTCGACCTATTCCCCGGGACCGGTTTTTCATCCTGAGTCGTTTTTTGACGGTCCCGAGGCCCGGCAAGGGCCCCCAGAGGCCGAAAATGGCACCAAGCCTCCCGTCGTGATTTCTGCACTGCTCGAGGGGGTTCTGGGGAGGGGGGAGGGGGAGGGGGGAGGGCCCCCAGAGGCCGAACACGGCGTAAAACCCTCCGTCGTGATTTTTGCATTGCTCGAGGGGGTCTGGGATCGAAGCCTCGGCCTCGCCGGCGACGGACCAAAAGCATGCGCGCGGAGCGCGGCAGGGGCGAAGAAGGAGGCCCCGAGGGCAGCGGGTCCATGGGCCCCCCGCGGGCCTGCCTCCGGGACCGGCTCCTCCTCCTTTTTGTTTCCCTTTTTTTGTGTGAGGAAGAGGAGGAGGAGGAGGAGGAGGAGGAGGAGGAGGAGGAGGAGGACGCGCCACAACATGTCCCCACTTCGCGGCAGGCAGCGCCGAGCGACCACAAAAAGCTTCGCCAAACAGCCTGGGAACGCCACAAGGGCCGACCTGCAATAGGCAAACTCATGCAGTGAACAGTAGTCTGAAAGAGAAAACGGCCGCGCCGCGAATACAATTGAAGGGGAACTGGAACACACAAATAAATACACACAAATAAAAATATCCCCCATATTTTCCCATATTTTCTGGCTTTTTGTCTTCCCCCCCACTTCCCATATTTTCCCATATTTTCCTGGGAATCGAGGATTAATTGTGTCTGTGTGTTTCTTTCCCTCCTGAACAATGTTGGACATGACCGTGACAATGGGTGGACCGGCTCTTCATCCTGAGCCGTCTCCAGAGGGCCCTGGGGCCCACGGGGGGGGCCCGAGGGCCCGAGCACGGCGAAGCGACTCCAGACCCGCCTGCCTCGACGCTGCATCGGCGCCATCTCATCGATCACCACACGCTGATCCGCCCGAGCGTACTCTGAAGACAGGAGTGCGGGGGTACACGAGGCCGCCATGATTTGCTGGCCACTGCACCTCGTCGCTGAGACCCCCTGCAGCCCCCCGGAACGGCTACCGGTTTCGGCGCCATCTGATCGATTACCTCACGTTAATCGACGCTGACGTCTTCTGAAGGCGGACTTGCGAGGGTATACGAGTCCCCCATGAGTTGCTACAGACTGCACCTTGCCGCTGAGGCCCCCAACCTCCCCACACGGCTACAGGCATCGGTGCCATCTCATCGACTACCAAACCTCAATCGACGCTGATGTGCTCTAATGTCAAACTTACGAGGGTATACGAGGCTCCAATGATTTGCTACCGACTGCACTGTGTCGCTTAGACCCCCAACCTCCCCGCACGGTTACCGGCGTCAGCGCCTCTCATCGACTACCAAGCGTTAATCGACGCTGATGTGCTCGAAAGACAGAAATGCGACGGTACACGAGGCTCCAAAGATTTGCTACCGAATGCACCTGTCACTGAGACCCGCAGCCTCCCCGCACGGCTACCAGCTTCGGCGCCATCTCATCGACTACCAAACGGCAATCGACGCTGATGTGCTCTAAAGACGGAATTGCGAGGGTACACAACACTCCCATGATTTGCTACCGACTGCACCTTGCCGCTGAGACCCCTCGCCTCCCCACACGGCTACCGGCATCGGCGCAGTCAAGAATAACCAAGCGGCAATCGACGCTGGTATGATGTAAAGACGGAGTTGCCAGGGTACACTACACGAGTCTCCCATGATTTGCTACAGACTGCACCATGCCGCTGAGACCCCCAGCCTCCCCGCACGGCTGACAGCTTCGGCCATCAGATCGATTACCAAACGTTAATCGACACTGACGTCTTCTGAAGGCGGACTTACGAGGGTATACGAGTCCCCCATGAGTTGCTACAGACTGCACCTTGCCGCTGAGGCCCCCAACCTCCCCACGCGGCTACCGGCATCGGTGCCATCTCATCGACTACCAAGCGACAATCGACGATGGTATGCTGTTAAGACGGAGTTGCGAGGGTACACGAGTCTCCCATGAGTTGCTACAGACTGCACCTTGCCGCTGAGGCCCCCAACCTCCCCACACAGCTACCGGCATCGGTGCCATCTCATCGACTACCAAACGTCAATCGACGCTGATGTGCTCTAGAGACTGATTTGCGAGGCTTTACGAGTCTCCCATGAGTTGCTACAGACTGCACCTTGCCGCTGAGGCCCCCAGCCTCCCCGCAAGGATACCAGCATCCGTGCCATCTCATCGATTACCGAGGTGAATCAACGCTGATCTGCTCTAGAATCAGGATTGCGAGTGTACACGAAGCCCCCACGAATTGCTACAAACCTCGCCTTGTTGCTGAGACCCACGGCCTCCCCGCACCGCTACCGACATCGGCGCCGTCTCATTGATTCCAGACCGTTAGTCGACGCTGGTGCGCTCTGAAAACGGAAAGGCGAGAGTATTAGAGTCTCCCGTGGCTTCAGCGCCATCACACCAATTACCAATCGCGAATCGGCGCTAATGTGCTCGTGCTCTACAAACAGAGTTGCGAGGGTATACAAGGGTCCCGTCATTTGCTACCCAATGCACCTTGCCGCTGAGGCCCCCAGCCTCCTCGCACTGCTACCAGCTTCGCCGCCACCTCATCGACTACCAAACGTTAATCGACGCTGATGTGCTCTAAAGAAAACACGGCATTCCAATGCTTTACGAGGCACCCATGAATTGCTACCGACTGCACCTTGCCGCTGACATCCTCGGCCTCCCCGCACGGCTACAGGCATCAGCGCCATCTCATCGATGACCAAGCGTTAATCGACACTGATGTGCTCGGAACTGCGAGGGTTTGCGAGGTTCCCGTGAATTGCTACCCACTGCGCCTTGCCGCTGAGACCCCTAACCACCGCGCACGGCTGCCAGCAGAAGCGGCGGAAGGAGGGCGGGTAGCCGCATCGGCAGCGGCAACAAGGGGAGGAGAAGAGGAGGATGAGGAGGACCAGGAGGAGCAGGGGGAGGAAACGCAGCGGCGGGGGAGGACCAGAAGAAGAGGAGGAGGAGCATAGGGGGGAAGAGAAGGACGAGGAGGGGGAAGGAAAAAGAGGAAAGAGGAAGTGGCCCCGCCGTTCCACCCACCCCCCTCCCTCCCCCTCCGCGGCCTCCGGTGGTGTTCGAACCTATCTGGGGCGGGCCCTGCCTTCCTCCCCCCCCCTCCAGACAGGC